TGGGTCAAATTTGTCTCTAGACGCTAGTCTATAATACCTGTTAATTAACAGTAAAGTTATGCCAGGTTATGCCTTCCCTTTTTTTGTTAATAATTTTCTTTTATTATATTGGTGTGAAGATTGTGGACATGAGAGGATGAACCTTATCGATATGGAACCCTATCAATATAAAGCCTCCTGTGGCATTCCATTCTGGAATTAACTCTTTTTCTGAAACATTGCAAATGTGATAGAGGCTACAGTTTTTAATAGTTTTTTTTCATGTTTGGTGTCAAGCAGTAAAACTGTGAGAGGATGAACCCTATTGGTTTCCAGATTTGATGTAAAGCATTGGAATTAGAGATAATTAATTCCGTTTATTTTCATCATTCTACTAGGACTTTCAGTTTCTGAGATATATTGTGTATGAGAAAAAGCTTGTGAACAAGATAGAGATTTATTGAAGGCATTTCGGTATTAATTTTGGGCAATATTCAAGTTTTCTTTCGGATAAGCTGCTATAGCTATCTTTCTTTCTAGACATAACTTCTGTGTGGACATATTTGCATGGCTTTTTATTCCTTCTTTTATTGAACTGGCAGTTGAACAAAATTTAGTAAAATACAAGTGTATAAGTGCTGTAACATTTATTTGTAACAAATGTGAAGTTTGTTTCATTTTATTGCCTTTTTCAGTCTTAAAAATGCATAAAGTGTTTTTGCCCCTGGGCAGTGAGAACCTTAGCAACACTATTCCCATCAACAAGAGTTTTCATCTATTATTTATACTATTGAAATGAAAACAGAATGACTATATGGGTGGTCACAATTGATCCAATTTTAATGGGATAAGGTTGTCTTTAAATGCCATTACAGACAAATTATTGAAGAAAAGAAAATAGGAATTGTCTAGCTTGTCTATGGTTAAAATGATTATTGATGTTCTAAATGTTAAAAGAAAACTGTATTGTCTGTCTGTACGAGGGAGATGGTGACTAGGGTATTTTTTTTATAAAATATAGATTCATATGTTATTTATGGAGATATTTATTTCGATAGATTAATACATCTCTGTGTTTCTTAAAACAAAGATTACAGTTTGTAGGAGATATAAATATATGAACTTAACACTGTTACATTTTACATTGGTTGTATTGATACATGTTGTATGAGTATATTATTAATTATTAAAACTGACATATTCAATCTTTTTGGCATATTTAAGACATAACAGTTTGAGGTAATCTTGTGGTTTGAGGGAATAAGATATCAGAAATCTTGTGTATCGCTCAGTTAAATATATGCAGAAACAAAATTCCAGACTTGATGCCCATGATTAACAATAAGTAATGTACCCAGTGCTAGCATTTCTTGCAATATGGTTATAATATTTAATAAAAGAGGAATTGATCTTGAAATTTGCTCTTTAAAGCGATAATTTCATATTTTCTAAGAAAGTCAAAACATAATTATTTCTACGTCTTTTGCTCAATAGGTTATCAACTCACTATTATACGATTATAGGTATTATTCTCCCTCTTAAAAATCCTTTGACCCCGGAAATAATAACACAATTACCTCCCTTGTTTTTCTATTCCCCCCCATGGAATAATCTTCAAACGTTTGAATTTAAAGTTGAAAATGATATTTTTGCCAATTTCTCAACTGGCAATAGTGAATTATAGGATTAATAGGATTATTCTTTAAATAGGTAGGACTGTTTATAGATACCATCTATTTTAAGGCTTTATTTTAATAAATTTTAAAAATATAACTTAAAAATATGAAATTGCAGCTTTAAATAGATTTCCAACATGTTTTATTGGCCAAATGTTCCTAATTATGAAATTTGTGTATGGAGGGCATTGTATGAAATATTATATTTCGTAAATAACAAACGAAAATGACCTATTTTTATACGCCCACTTTCAAATGTGGTCATATATTGTCGTTGCCCCTATCCATCGGTCCAAGGTTCCCAAACAATGGTGGACGCTCTAGCGGCTAAAGTTAATATCCGATTGACTTTAAATTTATACACAGTGTTAAAGGTCATGAGCCAAAGAATCCTATTGATTTTCGGTGATTTCCTATAATTACTACCAGAAAAATATTGTGGACGCTCTAATATCCAATTGACTTTAAATTTATACACAGAGTTTAGTGTCATGAGCCAAAGAAGTCTATAAATTTTCAACGATTTCTGATAGTTTCTGCCAGAGCTGTGGCTCTTGATCTCTTTGAAATATCTTTTTGACACTATAGAGGCTAAAGTTAATATCCGATTGACTTTACATTTATACACAGTGTTTAAGGTCATAAGAAGAAGAAGCATATTGATTTTCAACAATTTCCGATAATTACTGCCAGAGTTATGGCCCTTGATCACTTTAAAATATCTTATGGACGCTCATTCATTCACTGTAGAGGCTAAAGTTAATATAAATTATTTAAAGTCATGAGACAAACAATCGAAACAAATTCTAATGTTTTCTGATAATTACTTCATGGGTTAGTACTCGTAATCAGGGGTCATGGTGGCTAAGTGCATAAGACGCTGGCTCGCTAGCCTGGAGGTCGGATGTTTGATCCCTGCATTGGCCGAGAAAGTACATTCAGATTTTCCGGCATGGTTTCCTCTTGTCAGTGATGCAGGATGGAGGGCCTGACAAGGACAGCTGTCTAGTCGTTCAGTTGGGGCGAAAAACAGAGGTCCTGTGTACACATTGACGTGCACGTAGAAGATCCCTTGACAGTTGGAATTCGATATAAGAGTAGGCCGTAGTGCCGCTGTCCGGGCAAAATTTCCCTCATAGCACACTGCATGGCGTATGCCCATCTTCATTAGCCCAGTTCGGAGCAGAATAGTAGGATGTGAAACCCCATTTCATTTCATTACTGACAAAAGAAAGAATATGTGACAACACTTGTCGACTGCCCAGATGACTTAGCTGCTGTGGGTGTATGTTTCACTGCCTGGCAGCCTATCTTTAATATATATTTTTACATACGTTCCATCATTGACGTTTAACTGACTGAATTTAAAAACATCATATCATTTTGAAGTTGAACCGAGACAGCAATACAGTTGAATTTAGGGACTTTGAATTGCTTGCAAACTATAATATTGTGACCGTTGGATCTCTTAAAGGAATATATCACTCCAAAATTGTTCATTGCCATTTAGTATTTACAAAGATATGATGAATTGAAAATTTATATATGTTCCTATTCAGTTTCATGATAAAATCATCCCGAACAAGGTGCCGTTCTTAATTATCAATTTTCAAATAAGCTACCAAGTATTAAATAGAGCTTGTGATTAAAAACAAATTACAAAAACTAATTTCAATACACAGGTTATTTTAATGAAAGTCAAACAATTGAGTTTAGAATAACTTGCACAACAAGAGCTTGTGATTAAAAACAAATTGCAAATACGAGACAAAAACTAAAGCTTCAATTCACAGATTATTGTAATGAATGTCAAACATTTGAGTTTAAAATAACTTGCACAACAAAAACACAGAGATATAACTTAACAATGGACAATGTACCAACACTAAATCCTAATGTCAAGAGAAAATTCAAAGGCGCTAGCTAAGTGAACTTGCCAAAGTGTAATATCATGCAGGCTTCTCTGATGAGATCGTGCCCATAGGCTGAAATGCTTTCTAGTGAATAGGCTAATGATGAAAGAGACTAATATGGTTCTTGCTTTGTTATTTCTCAAATGACGACTGTATGATGATTAGTAATATGGAATTAATATGGTAATCATAATTTGATTAACATGCCTATTTCTTTCTGTGTACTAAATTGGATTAAAACATCAAGAATGTGATGTCATATTCAGTATCTGATTCCTTCAATAATATTATTATACTGTAAAAACCCATACAAACAAATGAAACCTGTGTGCATGCGCAGGTGATATCCATGTTTAAAATGTCAATAGTGTTTTGTCACTTGTGTTCAAAATAGATATTTCTCAAAATGCACAATCGAATTTGATGTCATGTATTTCAACAACTATATTTCATAGTTTGGATCCTTAAATGAACTGTTTTGATGTCAAGCAGTCAGCGACATGCAATTCTAAAGCATGCAATTGAACAAAGACATCAATCTTTTTTGCATTGAAAGGTGATAGACTGCTCTTACCAAAAAAGTGTGTGTGCATGTGGGGTTTTAGGTTTGCAAATATATCATTGATAATTACAAGAGTATCAATTGATTACATACTATACAATGCTGTAAGGCAGGTGATTACAAAGGATTATTAGTTAATTATATCATTTGTTTCTATGTTATTATGTATAAAACCTCTAGCGATATAACATAAAATCATTGATTCTCGTATAATACCAACCACCATACGTAAATGTAGACCTGATCACAGCTATTTGCTGCTGGATGACACTGCACATTATATTCATTCTATTGTGCTATTTTATTACTCACTAGCTGCCTGATATCTTTGGCTTAACTCTGAAAACAGTCAAAATCATAGCTCTATTTTTCGGGAAGTGACATTTTCTTTACATGAACTGAACATGTATTTGGAAAGTTTGGATGGTCTTGTGTAATGTGTTTCATTGACTTCCACCAGCATTATAAACAAGACCATTCTATTTTACACAAGGTCTTCTTACATCCATCTACACTGGAAAATACAGTTACTGTTTCTTGGCCAACAACAAAATTGAACATTGGACCTCCTGGTTTGCAAACCAGCGCCTATCTCACTGAGCCACCATAGATCCATTTTATGTTATGAACATATGTTAGATGTCAAAGGCGTACCAGTATACCCCCCAAAAAAAATCAAATGAAATGAAAGTGAAAACTGATTTTAATCCGATAGAAGGTGTCTTTAACTTACACACATGTATGTCTGTCACCAAATACATGTATTACCATTTAATGTTACCAGCAGTGTAATTAATAAAATGTAATAGAAGTTTTTAGTGTTGTGTCTAATAGCTGAACTGATGTATTATATATTTTTTGTCTTTCCAGATTAAAAAATTTGAAAAGTTAGAAACAGATGAAGAAAGAATAAAGACAGGGAAGGAGATATATGATCAAAACATAATGAAGGAATTACTGTCTCAATCACATGTAAGTTTTTGTCTTATAATATTCTCCCTGATATCCATCAATAACGTTAATTTTGCTAACAGCATTTCCTTTGCATGCATACAAGTATTCCATATTTGCTGTGGTTTTATTTTTAAATATCAATATTTTAGCTTGCAAACTTTGTTACTCTTGCACTTTCTCTTGAATGTAAATATTAACCTAAAAATCAGCTGATGAAACTTCATAATATGCAGAAGAAATAAGTATGGAATATCCTGACCTCTTAATACAATTTCTCAACAGATAATGCTATCTATACTCTTCAAAGAAAGTAGGGGATATTCAGAAACAATACAAAACTGCAGAAATGCACTGCTGTTTTTATTAGAGGTAACCAGTGTATGTTAATAACAGGCCAATTGCCTACACGTGAACATAACCAGTTCATATGGGCGACTTATCTGACGGCCCTATTTCACTCGCCAAGAGATACACTGTCAAAAGTGAAAATGGACCAATTGCCTACACATGAACATAACCAGTTCATATGGGCGACTTATCTGACGGCCCTATTTCACTCGCCAAGAGATACACTGTCAAAAGTGAAAATGGACGTTTTTGATTTTTGTCTTAATAATGTGTAATTGCTCCTCCAATCTTCAGACATTCAGTAATTCGTCGTGGTATGCTCCTAATCAACCATCCAATCACAATTTCAGGGCAATCTGACCCACTCCTCTTGCCGTGCCATGTCCGATTCTTATGCAAGAACTGATAGGAAAGCAAACATGGATAGGATAAACCAGCAAGCGGCAGTTTTCATCAACCCTTTTTTGACGTGTCAAATTTGACAATGGACCGCTCCCACGTGTATGGCGCTATTGCGTGTTGCACATGCACCTCAGCGGTTCTGTTGGAGCGATAAGTTCTTCATCTGTGAACATACTCTCAAAGTAGTCAAAGCATGTCAAGTGTCCATCCATGACTATTTATCATAGGTATGTGCATAGGTATGCGCATTTCAATATCCCCTACTTTTTTTGAAGAGTATAATTTAACACAATCAGCATTATTTTGTCCCCTGCCTTTCAAAGAAAGCAGGGGACTATTAAAAGGGGACACAATAACTCTCCTAATTGAGGTAGAATGTTCAAATTTGATGTAGGTGTTTATTAGGTGAATGCCTTGATGGAGGTCAAAGATGAGCATTTTCTGCTTAGGCTAAGCAGAGATAAGCAATTTGATTGATTGCTGCTTTGGGATATGATAACTTTAGTTCTAATTAAGTGCGAGTGAGAGTTTCATTACATCAGTACCTTGACTAAGTTCGATAATTAACATTTTCGGCATAGGTAAAGCAGAGTGATAAGCAATTGTATTGGTCAAGACTTTGGAACCAAATAACTCTCCTAATTGATGTAGGATGTTCAAACTTGGTGTAGGTGTTAATTCGACGAATGCCGTGATGGAGTTCAAAATTGAATATTTTCTGCTAAGGGTAAGCAGAGATAAGCAATTTGATTGGTTGATGCTTTGGGGCATGATAACTTTGGTTCTTATTAGGTGAGAGTGATTAAACTTAGTGTATAGTTTCGTCACATCAATACTTTGACTAAGATCGATAATGAGCATTTTCAGTACAGCTAAAGCAGAGCGATAAGCAATTTCATTTGTTCAGACTTTGGAGCTATACAACTTTGATTCTAATTGAGTTGTAGTGTTGAAACAAATTTTCTGCTTAGGTAAAGTGGAGACTTCAATCTGATTGGAACATAATAACTCTCCTTCTAATTGAGGTAGAATATTCAAACTTGGTGTAGGCATCTATTAGGTGAATGCCTTGACAGAGAGTTCGATCAAGCACATTTTCCATTGAGGCTTAGCAGAGATAAGCAATTCAATTGGTTGAGACTTGGGAACACGATAACTTTGGTTCTAATTGGGTGAGAGCAATGAAACTCGGCTTTCCTGCTTAGGCTAAGTAGCAATAAGCAATTTGATTGTTCAAGACTTTGGAACATAACAACTCTGCTTTTAATTGAGGCATAATGTTTTAATTTGATGTAGATGTTCATTGGATGAATGGCTTGACTGAGTTCAATGATTAACATTTCCCACTAAAGCTAAGTAGAGCTAAGCAATTTCATAGGTCGATGCTTTGGGACAAGATAACTGATGGAGAGTGATGAAACTTATTGTATAGTTTCACTACCAGGTACTTCAAAACCTTGACTGAGTTTGATTGTGACATTTTATGCTTAGGCTAAATATAGATAATCAGTTTGATTGCTCGATACTTTTGAAAATGATAAATGTGCAATTAATTAATATGTGTCATCTATTTATTTTGGGAAATCAGCGGGGAACATAAGCTTCACTGTTGGCTTGTTATAAAGTAATATTATTTATTAATAAACCATTTTAGATGAGAATATTTTTTTTTTGTTCCACATTCATTTATTGATCCCAATGGTATAAAGTCATTGCCATAAAATAGTTGGTTTGTCACCTTCTTGTCTAGAAAGTCAGATGACTTCTACAAGTTGACGAGATTCAGGAGAACAGGAATAAAACCACTATGATAGATATGTTCTTCTAGACAGAAATCATTATTTGTCCTCTTTTCAAAAGTTAGCATAACAACAGTTTCAACACTACCATCAAAGAGTTGATAGTAAGTGTCTATATGTGGTGTTATATTAACAAAGAAGCTGGATGGTGCTTCCAATTACCCCAATGTCATGCTAAAAGAGAAAAAGTGCAGTACAGTACTTGCTTTGCTTTCCTTCTTAATACTTTTTGGATTTATCATTATACAGATCATACCTGTAAGCTTTCATTTGGGTAACACATACTGTACTGGGTTATGATCTGGCATAATAAATTTGTGACCAAACTGTTCTCAGCTTAATGTGTTGATCTCTTCATTGAAAACTTAGTTAGGTTGATACATATATGTACTGGTTCAGTGTCAATTTACACAAACAAATTTTTGATGGATCCTAGATAAAGACGATCTCACATTTGTGTACTAGTGTTAGTCCGGACTGAGGACTGTTTGACATAAAAATATAGCAGAATTGTACCAGGTCTGGACTGGATACCAAATTACCAGTCCATCTTTGTTGTGTAAATTATGTTACGCCTAATTATTTTCTAGGTTATGAACTTTTAAAGACTTTGTTTTTTCAACATATTCCTATATGCTGTCAATTGTCATCTCAATCCTTTTTGGATAGTCACAATTGGTGACAGATTTTTTCATGTGATAAATGTACAAAGGTTTTCAGATAGCAGTTATAGATCTTACCAGTATATCTCGATCACCAGATTGTACATTAATTTATATGAGTATGTATATATGGTGGAGTGTGATAGGATCATACAACTATTTTTGTTGAAGTACAAGTTATTTACAGATTTTCAGTCAAACCTATGTTATAAAGGTGAAAGTGAGAAGTAGGAGAGTTGGTGATAAAATCTTACTTTGATTAACCAAGTTTATGCTTTACTGTCTGCATCAAGAGAAATATAAATCATTTGGTGGTTAAAGTTACATGATGTGAAACATTGGTTATATTGATATTTGTCTATTCTGTTAATCAACAAATGGCTTGTAATCAGTATTTTGATCTTTATAGTTTGGTCTTACAGGAATACAGTATGTGTCCATCACCAACTGCAAGAGAATGGGACGGCAGGCTGCAATCTGTTTAAAATATCTTCAATACTATCAGTAGTGATGTCAGGATTTTTGACGATATTTGTAGGGGGGATGGATTTTATGGGCAATAAAATGGTATTTGTTCAAAATTTTGATATTTTCCTTAATGAATAGTAACAGTTGTCAAAAAGATATACAATTTTAAAGCTAGATGATGGCAGAAAATCTTCTTGATGAAGGTGACCCTTAGTTTTAGTGACTGATGGAATTATATATTCCATTGAAGTTTGGTCAGTCTTAATCTAAGAAGATTTGATTATCTTGACAATAATATGTGGTATTGTCTCAACATCCGAGTAATACAATACGCTACCTTAATTTCTTAGCAACATGTAGTCACAACCTTAATCAATAATTTAAACTTCATTTCCCACATATCTAGTATGGACAAAGACTTGATAATAAATATTTATTTTGTTCTTGTAACTCATAATAGAAGTAACTCCAAGCAGGATGTTGTCCTAATCAGCTGGTGTTAGGAAGGAATATAATGTTCAAATATTTATATATCACTGAGTGATATAAGGTTGTCACACATTTATGGAACAGAGTGTCATCTGATCTGTTTGCTGAAATAGATTGTTGTGTTTAGGTAAATTTCAAAGTTAATTTCAGGGAAACCAGTCGTAGTAAATTATATTTACTATTTAATCATTTTTAGTTATATTTTATTGTTTTGTTCTTTTTATCATATCCACAGTCATAACATATATGTCGTTATGTCTGTTCATGGTATCCTTCCATCTGCACCAATGATCATCTTTCTATACCTCAATAGCTTTTTTCCACAACATTTCTCAACCTCATCCTATCTCTTCTTGCTCTTCACTCTGGGGCTTCTCTCTTTCAGAACATATAACTTTATGTGTTTTTTCAGATATACCGATTGTGTATATTTTAAATGATTTCAGCATAGCAGAATTACCTATTTGTCTGGGCAAATGATTTAATGGATAAATGATTCTCTTACAGGAACCAGTCGATGCTTAAAAAAGTGATGAAATGCACATATTCACAAAATTTCCTATCGTCATCATTTTTAAACCCACCTCAGCAGATGGCATAATTAAATCATGTTAAGCAGCAACCCTTCCGGGAGACTGGTGACAATCTGGTTTTATTTACCTCACTTTTGCTTTCTAAGGATACAGTTTAGCATACTTACTGTAACATATATCTTCAGAACAACAAATCAAATTAATTTCAGTTAGGCATTCTATTTCCAGTATTCTATGTCTCAATAAATTTTTATTTTTGTATTTCAGACCTATACAAAAGAAGCCGTAAATCATGTACAAGAGGCTCTAACACAAGCCCAAAAAACACGATCATTAGATCCTGGTATTTTTGAGGTAAGATATTACTTCAAAATTAGTTATCGTAGTATATTGTAGATTATAGTAGTCCATAGAAACAGAATGTGAACATTTGAATCTTGGGAAAATGCTTGTGAAGCCCATGCATGGGTTGTGGATAAATTAAAGCATATATATCTGTCCTGTTAAAGATCCAAATTACATTGATTAATAATGATTCTATATTAAAATTAACAAATAAATTGAAGATCATATATCCTCTGTACAAATTAACCTCAGTAATTTGAAAATGCAGAATATTGGTAATAGTGAAAACACTAAAAGATCTATAGTTGAATGTGAACATTTTACTCCATGTGCCAACTATTTATAGAGTATTTAAAATTTGGAATGTGATAGCTATTAGGTAGTTGACTTAAGAAATGACAGATATTGGATAGTTTAAAACTTGGCATGGAAACTTGAGGTTTTGAACAAAAAATGATAATACATTTATCTCAAGTTGTGATGTACATAGTTTGAATTTGTACTTTATTGTGCTCAACATTTTGATGTATCCAGCTTATTACTATTTAAAAAATTAATCTAATGAACAAAAGAAAATTGAATCAGAAGGTTCAGGAACTTTATGAATTCTGTAACCGCCTTAATCCTGTTAAACATGGATTAGACAAAAACAAACGGTAAAAATATGAAATCAGTACAAAAATTTCCTTTGTACAGTTTACCATTTTAAATGCTTTCTTCTTCACAGCACAAAAACTATTAGTTGAGAATATTGAAATTAGTTTGTCAGTGTTTTGTCTTCAAACACAATATTTTCTACAATATACATTTATATTTGACATAAGGACATAAAAGCCTACTTGTACAAAAGAATTACACAATGATAGCTCAATATTTGTTTGGCAGATTTTGTTGCTATGGTTTCCAGAAAATGACCAATGGTGAATAGTAGTTCTATTTGCAGTCTTTTATCTTTGTGCAGAAAAGTAGGACATTAAAACTAATTTGTTAGTAATCTTTAAATGGCATTCAGTAACTGGATAGAAGTAACAACAAAAACACATACTTATGGAAAACAGCTACTAGTGTATTTTACGGCGACGTTTCGTAGAGTATTCTCACAACTTTATTACGAAATGTTGCTTTAAGATACACTAGTAACTGTTTTCCATAAGTATGTGTTTGTGTTGTTAATTTGTCAACGTTGAGAGAATATGCTACGCAACGTCACCTTAAAATACACTAGTAGCTGTTTTTCATAAGTATGTGATTTTGTTGTTAATTTGTCAATGTTGTTTCAGCCATACATAGAAGAAATATGTAACACATTAAGAGGCTATATATTTGAACAGTTCCTAGACAGGTAAGTTTTTATGATTTTCTATACAAATCTACAGCACAGTTCCTTGTAACCTTAATATAATCGAATTGAAGGTACAATTTGTTAGTATCTTCTGTACATAAACTACTCTTCAAATTGCTGTTTTATCTGGAACAAAAATTACAATGGCCTTGAGCTTTGCAAAAATGCCTCTTTTACTCAGCTTTTAATTTTTTTGTATCTAATGTAATTTAGTTCAAGTTTCAGGATAGAACCCATTAATTCACTATTGATTTTTTTATATTTTTAGTGAGAAATATACCAGGTTTTGTCAATGGAAAAATTTAGAATTAAATATTAATGTAAGTATTATAATTCGATTTTATATGTATATATTTGAAATTATATATTCTAACAATTATTGGCCTATTCTATATCTCAAACACTCATTTGTGATAATTGGCATATTGTATTGGCTATGTCTGAAAATCAAAGGAAACATAGATTTATTTGAATTATGACATATTCACATTACTAATAAACATTTAAAAAGGTTTTTTTTATTCATATATTCAACTAAAGACTGGAAACCTTTTTGGAGAATAAATGTTCTAACTTCCAGAAAAGACATTAGTTTATTTATACGCCCACATTGAAATGTGGGGGTATATTGTCGTTGTGGACTCTCTAGACGCTTAAGTTAATATCAGATTAAACATAGTGTTTAACGTCATGAGATGAAGAAGCCTATTGATTTTCACCGATTTCTGATAATTATGGCCCTTGAACGCTTTGAAAAATCTTGTGGATGCTCTAGAGGCTAAAGTTAATATCCGATTGACTGTAAATTTATACACAGTGTTTAAGTTTATGAGATGCAGAAGCCTATTGATTTTCAACGATTTCCTATAATTACTGCCAGAGTTGAGGACCTTAATCACTTTGCAATCAATATCTTATGGTCACTCGAGAGTCGAAAGTTAATATTCAATTGACATTAAATTTATACCCACTGTTTAAGGTCATGAGTCGAAGAAGTCTATTGATTTTCAATAGTTTTCTATTACTGCCAGAGTTATAGCCCTTGACCTCTATGAAAAATCCTCTAGAGGCTAAAATTCCATTTCATTCATTCATTCACTTTAGAGGCTAAAATTGATATAAATTATTTAAGGTCATGAGATACACAATTGAAACAAATTCTAATGTTTTCTGATAATTACTTCATGGGTTATTACTCGTAATCAGGTTTCATGTGTTGTAAATGTTCTCATTACTGACAAAAGAAAAAATATGTGACAATCCTTGTTGACCGTCCACACGACTTAGATGCTGTGGGCATATGTTTCGTTGCCTGGCAACCTGTCTTCTTACAGATTGGTATATTCTGAATTTCAGTTAACAATGAATGACTTCAGTGTACATAGAATAATTGGTCGAGGTGGGTTTGGTGAAGTATACGGGTGTCGAAAAGCAGATACAGGAAAAATGTAAGTTATGGTAAAATTGTTAGATAAAGTACACAATCCAGCCTTAATTATATTATGATGAAATTGATCCATATATTAGTCCCAAGTGGACATTAAACCACATTTCTCTCTCTCTATGTATATTTTTAATATGTCAGTTATAGTCCCACAATCCCTCTAAACAATCGTGATATATTTACATCGTATCACCACTGCACATAAGATTTACTAGGTAACGACATATTGCCCTCAATTTACAAGGTCATGTTGCTCAAAGAAAAGGAGCCACGGTGGCTAGGTGGTTAAGACGCTGGCTCGCTAGCCTAGAGGTCGGGTGTTCGATCCCTGCATTGGCTGAGAAAGTTCATCCAGATTTTCCGACGTGGTTTCCCCATGTCAGTGGTGCAGAACGGAGGGCCTGACAAGGACAGCTGTCTAGTCCTTCGGATGAAACAAAATCGAGGTCCCGTGTATATATTGGAATGCACGTAAAAGATCCACTGGCAGTTGGAATTCGATATAAGAGTAGCGATAGTGCCGCTGCCCGGGCAAAATTTCCCTCATAGCACACTGTATGGCGTATGCCCGTCTTCATTAGCCCAGTATAGGACCAGAACAGTAGGACTTTAAACCCCATTTCATTTCATTTAATTTCATTTGCTCAAAGAAAGATGTTACCATCCACTCTCATACTATTTCCACTCTTTCATCGGTATTTACTGTAATTCCTTCAAAATAATTTATCCAACAGAAAAATGCTGCGATAATGAGTGATTGGGTAATGTATGTATAAAATATGTCTCACGAAATATTTATGGTTATAATTTTTGTTAAAATCAATGGATCCTGTCTCCCAGTCAGTTGATCTGTAGAAAGGGAGAAATATCGATAGACATGTAAATCGGAGGCTATCACTGGTCTGTCAGAATATATTGTGAATAATAATAATAACTTATTACATATTTGTTGACAGGTATGCAATGAAATGCTTAGATAAAAAACGTATTAAAATGAAAAGTGGTGAAACATTAGCTCTTAATGAAAGGATAATGTTGTCTCTAGTCAGTACAGGGGTGAGTAAATATATATAGTTGTTAAATATACCAACTAGGCTCAGTCTGAATGATGACCATTTATGGCATTCACAAAATTGAGTCAGAAATAACTTTCAAGAGATCTTATACACTTTATTCATTTTCATATCAAGACACAATAACCAACGTGACAAATTCAACACACTAGAAACAAAATTCATAATTTTACCTTCAAAAAGTAAATGGCTGTTTAGTGTACAACATATTTTTCCTCTGTTTGCATAATGACAGTATGGAATAGTTGACACCAGCCTGAAGCACTGCCTTCAGCCAGAAAATGGAACACGCCAACTCCCAGAAACATTGATTTCTGGCAGTTGGAAATGAGATACTCATTTACTTTCATGTTTTAGCCACTGTGTTACCTAGTTATTGCCTCCTTTTTTGTAGGAATGTAAATTGTGTTTAACCACATGCAGAAGAAGACATATTTTGACACACACTGGGATTATTTTTAGTGACATTTTGTAAGGTTTCTGTTTATTGTGATATTAGGAAAAAATATTTCTGTACAACAGCTTATGCTGTAAGTGGGTTTACTTGAGACTAATGTTTTCTATATTAATTCTATTTTGGATATGTCACATAATTCAAACCCCTGAAAGTCAAATTACTTGTAAGATTCTAATATGAAATCTTTCAGTAGAAATAAACGTTCCATTTACTTACTCTGTCTGGTACAGCTGATGCCAGGTCTCAATACTTTAGAAAGATTTATAATTGATTTGCTATTTTTAATAGAAATGTATATGTTATTGTTGTCATAGCAACTACACAATATCAGTCTATAAACCGTTCCATTGTGATAATTGATTGAAATCAGATCCATTGTTTACTTTATTAATATTTCCTCTGCTACAAATGAACTTGAAGCCCATATCATAGATTTGTGTGTTGTTAGAGAAAATATTCAGAACCAGCCAGAAACAGATCAAGGTCACAAATTTACAATGTCTCTGTTGAATTTGTATACACTCACATTTAATACAAAGTTATGGCCATCACCCCTAACCACCCATTTGTCCACTCTTTTTTGTGAACATGATAGTTTTAATTAAACTTTAAGCGAGAATTTCAAATTTTCTAAGAAAGTCAAAACATAATTATTTCTATGTCATTTGCTCAATAGGTTATCAAATCACTATTATACGATCATGGGCATTATTTCCCACTCTTAAAAATCTATGACACAGGAAATAACAACACAATTACCTCCCCTGTTTTGCTATTGACAACATGGGGCAGCCATTTTCCAACGTTGGAATTTGAAGTTAAAAATGATATTTTTGCCAATTTCTCAGCTGGCAATAGTGAATTATAGGATTAATAGGATTATTCTTTAACAAGGTAGGACTGTTTATGGATACCATCTATTTTAAGGCTTTATTTTAATACATTTTAAAAATATAACTTGAAAATTTGCAATTGCAATTTTAACATGTAGCAATATGTCCATGTGTCTTGGATTAGATAAAGTTGGAACAAAAATTTCATTTGATTGCCAGATTACCATATTGCCTTTGAGTTTGTCAAGATACATGTACATCAAAATACAGGCAGCTTGTGAAAATGATATATGATTAATCTGACTTTAATGAAACTTGGCATATCGTCTCGTATGTCCATGGGATCTCCTATGTGTTTGAATTTGTCAGTTACTTGTTGATTTGTTGACTTTGACTTATATGTAGCTAGAATAAGTCAATTTCCGCTAAAATAACCTGAGAACACCGTAGAATTTGCGTTTTCCATTTGATTTTAATGAAACTTGGTTATCTATGAGACCTCAGTTAAGTTGAAATAGAACTTCAGGTTTGATGTACTCGATTTTTGTGAAAAATATGTCAGAATTGCTTGCGAATGCTCATTTCACCCCCATTCATACTACACATACTGACACCCCAGAATTGACATTGACTGCTGCAATTTCCGAAAAATGCTGGTTGTAAGATAGATGCGTACTTTCTTGTATATCCCTATATATAAATCATTGCAAAACAATAGATTATTCTAAGCATGGCTTATAAATATAGAAATAATTAATCAAAAAGTGATACAGGTTCCTGGTTGATCTATTAGGGTATTATCAGAACTCAAGACTTTTGACCTTTTATTTCTTATGATAACTAATTCTTTCAATGTCAGTTGTACTTAAAGCGTGTATTGCCAATTAATATGAAAACATGCAGAAAAAAAACCTGAAAGGAAAGTATTAAATGCCATCAGTTCTTTGAAAATACGCAAATGAAGTGGGCCAATCAAAAGAAATGAGAAAAGCAAAAAAAAAGCCAAACAAAATAAAAGAAAAGGTGTGAGAAGTTTATTCGGATTTATTCTTTGATGTCTTTGAGTACAATCGTTGAGATTCATTAAAAGGCAATGTTAGTAATGTAGAAAAGATTGAAAATCCTCCTTTGGTTTAGAGATGTGAAATGGGAATAATTGAGATTGATCGATGGAAAGACTTCAAGCTGTTTGTAAGTTAGTGTACTGCATATTCCTTTACTGCTTATAACATCCCCAACCAAATTTAATAACAAGACAAACTTCAAGTACTGGTTACTGAATAATAAAACAAATGTAATTTTTTGCAAATTTGGATTAATATTTGATAAAATCTTAATCTCCTCTTAATTAGATGCTCTTTTGTGACTTACTGTAACATTTGCCCAAATCAATATTAAGTGCAGGAGGATTGCACCACATATTAACAATTACACAAGACAAACCCATGGACAGTTCACAATATACACAAATGTATGTTGGATTTCAACTAAATATGATATATGTTGCTTGGTTGGGTCAGAGGCAATATCGGTTTTCTGTCTGCCGGTCCGTCTTTCAGTTTATCATTTTCTCTTTCAGTTTATCATTTTTGTTTTCCTGAATTTTTATACCCCCACATTATATCGATCTGTCATTGTGGATTGACTTGAAATTTATACACATTGTTTGTGTTCATGAGATGACGAAAACTATTTATATCCAACAATTTTCGTAATGTACACATTCAAACATGTACTATGGCACCAATTTATGAAATCCATTAAGTGTTGTGGCATAATATTGTGAGATCTTAAATGGGCTTTAATGTCAACTTGTTGGAGAAATTATCTAAGGAGAAATTATTCAAGGAGTCATTGCAATTTTGATAGAAATTTCAAAAATAGCTTGAGAATGTTTTGGAATCCTTATGATTTGTTCAGTTCTTGTTAAGCTTTGTATCTAGTTTGGTAGTGTATTTGGTTTGTCAGGGTGAAAATGACATGGTTCTAACTAACACTTGGGTTAAAATTGAGTTTGATAGTGGATATTGTTGGTATTACAAAGCTCTATCTAATAACAGGATTAAGGAACAATAAAATATAGTGATCTTACGTCCGCACCACAAGTACAAACTTAGGTATTCACTAGATGACATCTTCTTCAAAATAATAGGGTTCTATCTTTCCAAAATTGAGGCCTATATAGGCTTAGCCAAGAAGGACGTTTACAGATCACCAATCAGATTTCATTATGGCTAAGCCTATATTCGTGGAAAGTGGCAGATAGAACCTTATTATTTTGAAAGTATCCATGAGTGAAAAGTTGGAAAAAATGGACAGTTCGAGATATTATACATAGAGTTATTAACTATTGATTATATTGTAATTTGGCACCGGTAGCAATAGTAACAATTAAAGTTGGTTTATTTTCGTAGTTTTATTGTTTCATTACTTTTTTTAGAAACCCCTTGAAATTAGATAGAACTTTGTAAATGTCACTGGTCTTTTAAATATCAAAGTAACAAGGTTCCATTTCTTACATTTGACTAAGTAGGCCATTGAGGTTTGATGAAAGCACAAAAAGAATGAAACACTGTCAAGTACTCAGTACGACTGAACATTCCAATCACTAACTAGAAGTATTCAATAATAAGGGTGTGCACAATAAGCAATCAAACTTTGCAAGCGTCTTTCTCAAAATGACCAAAATGTTAGTTAGAACCCTGCATTTCTCAGGTCACGGTGGGGGCCATTCAAGGGAATCTTTTGACCTAAATGCTTCTGCTGTTGCCAAACATTGAAGACAATTTTTTCCATTTGAGCATGGACAATATATTCAACCTACTTTCAGATTTTTAAAAAAAACCCAGAAAACCCAACACCTACCTTGCAATGTCTTTCAGTGTACCCTGCTTGTTCAGCCCCTACTAATGTTTTGGTTTTGTTCTACATTTTGTATGTCTTTAAGTCAAAGATAAACCCCAGTATCCTCTCATGACACAAGTGACCAGGCAATACTCAAAGAGAATGGCTCGCAGACGTCGATTTCAGTAAGCTATTGAGGGAGATATCTCTGTTTGGTTCTTCATTTTTCTTGATATTTTTCTTATTTTTAAAAATGGATTTTACATTATAGAACCAAAGTGTGTGTGCTGAAAATAGTTATGTGTTTCGAACCTTAGGTTGAAACACGTATTGTTTTCCTAATGGTTTTTATTTTTATTGTTTTTTGTTTTTGCCGATTTTAGTTGCAGACAAAACTGGGCATGGTGCAAACATTCTGCCAACGTAGATACTGTTGGCCTCTGTGAAACTAAATATTAAATATAAATTAGGTTAGTTTTGACAAACAGGAAGTGTTTTATGGATGGGACAAAAAAATAATCTCAGATTCCCCATATCTTGGTTATTTGTCAACAGATCTTTGTCGGGTTTTCATTTTTGGATTCTTTGGTTGAATCCCATAGATTTGCAAAAATTTTCTTCCCCCTTTTTTCAATATTCAAGATTTAAAGTATCAAGTTGAAACTTGTTAGAAATAATGAACACAATGATGCCTTCAAAATGACATATTAAAAAATTTTGTGACAGCTTCTGGGAACTTCCGGAAATTACAGAGACCTTTCGATTTTTCCTGAACATGAATAGTTCTCTCCATTTTAAAAATAGACCAAAAATGACATGTGGTAGTGTTAGCCCCAGATATTATCTTTCATTTTCAGAGACCTTGTCCGATAACATTTACGAAAACTTTTTTTGTTTGTTTTGAACCTACTCCAAATGGCAACAATTCTTAGGGAGCCGATTTTCGAAAATCGATTTCGTTTACTTCTGGTTTCACTTTGAATTTTGTTCGACTTTTGACCTTCTATCTGGTGACGTAAACTTTCAATGATCCTTGACCTTTGTATGATGACCCTGATGTCAACTAACAGTTAATATCAAAAGTTTGGTCTTGAAGTATAACTTCCGGTTTTATTAAGAGTTCAGAATGACAGGTTTTTCCACTTTAATAGGTATTGGATGTTAGTTGTTACTATACTCATTAATTCAGCGCGTAACTTGATTGTTGACGTGACAAATGATTGACCTGACGTGACCTGACATGACCTGATGTGACCTAATGTGACCTGACATACTGAAACACGTCAGTACTCCTTTGGAGTTCTAATTTTTGTTTGTTTGTTTTTTCTTTTGGAGATTAGTGTTCTTAAAATATTACAGTTAACAAATTATGCTTTGTTATGCAAATTTGGTGATTTAATTTGGGAGAAAAGGTAGGAGCAGTTGAAAGGAAAATAGTCAAAAATTGTTCTAGATGTTAAATATTATTGATTAAAGTGTGTAAAAGAATATAATATTGGTTTTCTCGTACACATACCTATAATACAAATGTGTTTAAAGTAACTCTTTTATTATCTTTCTCATCATTTTTGATTTTGTGTAAGCATCCTGGTTTTTTTTTGGGGGGGGGGGGATTTTGGTTTTTTGTTTGTTAAATTGATATTGTCGGTGTGGGTGTGTATTATCTGCATTTGACTGGCATTGTCAGTTAGATGGCATAGAGACGTATTTAGAATTATCGTATGTAAAAGTACAAAGTATTTGTAAAACCGTTGATAGTGGGGTACTAGCTGCTCACAGATTTAAATTAATATGTAATTTCTTTAATTTCTGTTTATTTCAGGAGGGGAGTCCATTTATTGTGTGTATGACATATGCATTTCAAACTCCAGAAAAATTATGTTTTATTCTTGATCTAATGAATGGAGGAGACTTACACTATCATCTTTCTCAACATGGTGTGTTCTCGGAGAACGAAGTTAGATTTTATGGTGCAGAAGTTATGTTAGGATTAGAACACATGCACAGTCGCTTTGTTGTTTATAGAGATCTCAAGGTCAGTAATATTGTCCTACTTTCTTATATAAACTGCTGTCTATTTAATCTGTCCAATGAACAAAGCTGGGTTTCTGGTATTGAAACATTAATTATCTACTAAACTTAAAGTAAAAATGATTTCCAAGAAAAGGTGCAAATATGCACAAATAATGAATAATTTTTTATGTCTGATGTACAAAAAGACTCATAGTTTGAGAATGAGCAATTATTCAAAGATTGTTACTTCATTCCTTGATATATATTTTAATGCTAAAGTATCATATTGCAGCCTGCCAATATTTTATTAGATGAGAATGGACATGTTAGGATATCAGATCTTGGTTTAGCCTGTGATTTCTCTAAGAAAAAGCCCCATGCTAGCGTGTAAGTACTAATTTTATCTACTGATTTTATCTAAGGTCTGTCATCGAGCCAACTGGTGTGGTTTCGATTCCCGGTTGTATATGACAAGGAGTAGGATTGCCTTTCCAACCTCGTGATTATTCTCCGGGTCCTTTGGTTTTCTCCCACTGCTAAAGACCCCTATGCGCAAGCAAATTATTTGAAATGAAATTGAACCATATGTTAGTCCCAAAATGACCTAGTTTATGTCGAGTGGACAACTTAAAACCCCATTTCTCTCTCTCTCTCTCTCTCTCTCTCTCTTTCTCTCTCTCTCTCCATTCACTGATTTCCAAAGACGATTTCCAATCTGTACAGTAAGTTGCTCTTATTAAATTGGGATGGGGAAAATGAATTTTTAAAACAAAATTATAAAGACACCAATGTTCGGAATCAGTTATCTCCGTATGATTACTGGAAAGTTCCCAAAATAGAGCAGTTGGAAAGTCAGTTTAGACATTGTATCTATGAAACTAAACTGTTTAAGAGAATGATTTAAAATGATACTTCGCAGGACCCAAAAAATATTTCAAGCAGAATTTGATGACAAATAGAAGCCTTATATCAATTTTCTCATCATTTATCCATTTTTTTTTTACAGTGGTACTCATGGTTATATGGCACCAGAAGTCCTACAAAAAGGACAATGTTATGATTCTAGTGCAGACTGGTTTTCATTTGGTTGTATGCTTTATAAACTATTAAAAGGGTAAGTGTAAGACCGTAATCAAATGCTTGTCTCTGTCCCACAATACATTGGTATTCCAGATCATAACAAATATTTCTTTATGCTATGAATATACTGTAAGCATAACATTGCTATTAATATATAATACTGGTTTTATAATTAAATTAAAAAATGGTTAATGTATAATTAGAAACAAGAAAAGCAGATTTGAACAGTTTTGTCAATTAGAATAGACTTGTTAGCCTCGTTTTAAATTGTTTTTGCAGACACAGTCCTTTTAGGCAGCATAAAACTAAAGATAAATATGAAATAGATAAAATGACTTTGACTATGGTAAGAATTTTATAATATTATGCAAAAAAAGCAGTATTGACGTACAGTTGCAACAACTCTGTGGAGGTGGGCGGTAATGGTACCCAGAACAGGACGACAGGTTGCCAAGTAATCAGGGTCATGCTTGTAGATTCGTCCGATGCATAGATGCTGGTTCAAAATTTTGCTCATCAGAATTTTGAATATGATATACATCTTGATGTCAGAATGGGCATATTCCCGGTTGGACGTTTGCCAACATGTGCAGGTCATGTCCGGCATATATGGGTGAATCATCATCCATGGTTCAGTGTAATAAGCAAATCTGTGTAAATTTAAAGCTGAATTTCTTTTGAATTTCATTTCTATTCAAGTTTGAAATCAAATTTCTAATAGTTATTTACCATATGAATACCTGTAATATGTGTTTAACTTCAGGATGAAAAAAATATTCTCTTTGACATGATTATCTCCCTTTAGTCTTCTTGATCTGTAAAATCTCGAAAATTTTGTTTTTATTGGCAGTTCTGTAATCAGAAGCTTCTGTATGCTATATCTACTGTTGAAGCCAATTCCTTGGATGAAAAATTATTTTTACAAAAATCTAGTTGCCCCTGGTTTTATGCTTGTAACTTTGTCCATTTCTGGATTTAAAAGCAGATGAATAAATTCACTTTGATAGAGTGTATGGATAGAACTTCTATTATTGCTTGAACAATGACTTAGTAACTGATCGAGCCTCTGTCCAATCAGAATGTGTTCTGATTTTACCAAATATGGTATATGTAAACTATTGTATAGCTCTACTGTGTAACATAAGTAATTAAATATGTACATGACATATTAATATGACTACTATTTTTTTATAGAATGTAGAATTGCCAGATTCAATGACACCCGAAATGAAGAGTTTATTAGAGGGTTTATTAAAGAGAGATGTTGAAGAAAGACTTGGGTGTAAGGGTAGAGGGTAAGTTTTACAATCGGTATTTTAGAAAATAGATTTCAACTTGAATAGAACCCATATTCAATTTCTGACTGTCCAGGTATCCATGTAAACGTGTACTGTAAAAGTCTTAAGACGCTTTCCTGCTTTCAATCTACCTTTCTTAACAGGCTCATGCTTTCAAAACTCTGAACAATTTTGCATTTTCTCTTTATTTTAGGGCACAAGAGGTGAAGGAACATGCATTTTTCGTAGGTATTGATTGGACACAAGCATATCTACAGATGCTTTCCTGCTTTCAATCTACCTTACTGAACAGGCTCATGCTTTCAAAACTCTGAACAATTTTGCATTTTCTCTTTATTTTAGGGCACAAGAGGTGAAGGAACATGCATTTTTCGTAGGTATTGATTGGACACAAGCATATCTACAGAAATATCCACCTCCTCTCATACCTCCTAAAGGGGAGGTAAACGCTGCTGATGCTTTTGATATTGGTTCATTTGATGAAGAGGACACCAAGGGTATCAAGGTAGTACATCCATTTTATATATAGATTTACTTTACCCTCCAGGAGAATTTATTTTGTTCTAAAAACAAGAGACTACATTTATAATAAAGAGAAAAAAGGACATTGTTATATTATCAATCTGTCATTGAGTCAACTGGCATGGTTTTGATTCCCTGGTTGTATGTGTCAAGGAGAAGGACCGCCTGTCCAACCATGTGGGTTTTCTCAGGGTCCTCCAGTTTCCTCCCACTGCTAATGACCCCTATGCGCAAACAAAAAATATTATCAATCTTGTAATATGTTCATAATAACCTATCTCCGAAGACATATATTAAATTTCTGTGAATATTATTACCTGAACATTTCATTTCCTCCTGAAAATTTACAAATTTATTTTTACCCATTTCATAGTTAACTGAAGCTGACCAAGAATTGTACAAGAATTTTCCATTGCTTGTGTCTGAACGCTGGCAACAAGAAGTAGCAGAAACAGTATTTGATGCTATAAATAGTGATACTGATAAAATAGAACAAAAACGTAAACAAAAACCAAAAATAGATGATCAAGATGCAGGTATGTTTATGCATAGAAAATATATTACCTATTTTAATTCTCCAAATTTTGTTTGACATCACAGGTAAAATTTGGTATAGGCTTGGTATTTATGGACAAAAATGGAATCGCCATCCAAATAAGGAAACAGTTAATTTGCATCTTCGAAACTCAGCCTGTCAGACACTTTATCCCAAAAAGTTCCTATCAATCTATTTATGTCAAGAAATGAATGGAAATATAAAAGGGCTGATTTTAATGAAATAAGGAATGGGGTAGATAGTCATCTTGTGTCACCCCTTGTCTAGCTAATAATATCAGAAGTGAACCAAATTTAGTCAGTAAACTTAGAATAGGATTGTTATACTAAATCAAAATAGCTGAGAGCATTAAAAATCAAATTCCGATTTGGTGATATTATTGACAAATTTATCCTCAAAGCTTCAATAATAACTAGAACTCCTAAAGGAGTACTGACATGTTTCGGTATGTTACGTCACGTCACGTCATGTCACGTCACGTCATGTCATGTCATGTCACACTATGTCACATCAACATTCAAGTTACACCATAAATTATTGGGTATAGTAACATCCAATGTCTAATAAAGTGGAAAAACCTGTCATTTTGAACTCATAGGACAGGAAGTTTTACTTCATGACCAAACTTTTTTATATATACATACAAAGGTCAAGGATCATGGAAAGATTAGGTCACCATCTAGATGGTGAAAAGTCGAACAAACTTTAAAGTGAAACTGGAAGTAAACAGAATCGAAATTCAAAAATCGGCTCTCTAAGGATTGTTGCTATTTGGAGTAGGTTCAATACAAAAAAAATTCGGAATTAAAATGGCAGCTGAATATCGATTTGAATGTTTTTTGTAAAATCCAATATTGTCGAACTAGGTCTTTGATAATGAAAGATAATTTCTGGGTCTAACACCACCATATATTATTTTTTGTCTACTTTTAAAATGGAAAGAACTATTCATGTTCGGGAAAAATCTTAAGGCCTCTGTAATTTCCGGAAGTTTCCAGAAGCCGTCACAAAATTTTGAAAGCATTGGTGTGTACCTTATTCCTACCAAGTTTCAACTTGATACCTCAAATAGTGATGGAGATATGCCATCTTGAATGTCGGAAAAATGATGAAGAAAACTTTTGCAAATCTTTGTTGCTAATATTAATCGAGGGAACTTCCAAATTTCTAAAAACCGTCAGTCAGAGCCCATATGGGATTCGTCCAAAGAATCCAAAAATGAAAACCTGAGGAAGATCCGTTGAGAAATAACTGAGATATGAGCAATCCGAGATTATTTTTTTGTCCCATCCATAAAACACTTCCTGTTCGTCATAAAGGACCCAATTTATATTTAATAACTAGACGCACGGAGGCCAACCACATCTTCGTTGGCAGAATGCTGGCACCATGTTAAGTTTTGGCTGCACAAACTGACTAACTCCAGAAAAAAAAATAAAAAAAAAATAATAAAAACACTTACGAAAACAATAAATGTTTCGACTGAAGGTCCGAAACACATAATGATATCTGTAAATCAAAAAAGTAGAAGAAATCAAGGAATGTCCCCATGTGTTAAAGGACTATTTCCACAGTGGCATATATCTTTGGAAAATAGTGCCTATGGCAAGCACTGGAATTTTGCCCCTGTCTAAACATAACTTTACCATAAAATCAGCTCGAAAATACAAGTCAGTTTCATTAATCATTTAACAAATAAATGATTGCACTACATGAAAATTACAATTGCACCTTTCTTGATTCCAATCATGCAATGGTCTTACTGCCAGTACCTTTCAGTGATGCCCCCTTCATGTGCCCTACCTGCCATACTGTAGATATGCCACTTTATCTCCATGAAATGAAAAACATTGGTCAAAAGCTAAAGTTATGATATGTTATCATTCTATATTTTAGGGCCAACTGATTGTATAGTTGAGGGAGAAGTAATGAAGTTAGGTGGGCCCTTTCTACAAACATGGCAGAAGAAACACCTGAAATTATATCCTAATCGTTTAGAATTCTACCATAAGAATCGTGATGGACAGATAGTGAGAAGCAAAGGTGTTGAGGTAAGTAAGAGTTTGAAATTATTTAATCACATGGGACAGATATGTCATAACATTTTATTTGATGGCAATCTGTTGTGTTATAACCAATTTTTGCAGCTTATATTCTATACTCTTGTTCAGAAAACTCTCTGTGACAACAGTCTTTTCACAAAATTACATTCTTTTAATTACAGATCAATTAAAGACTGAAACAGACATTCCATATGCTATTAACTAATATAAAGTATTCCATGTCCTTCGACACTCATTAAGTTTTTTTTTTTTTGTCTATTGTCTAAGCCAATAACTTGCCAAATATGATGTCATATCATTCTTGTGATTTAATTAGATTGCACTTTACTTTATTATTTTTTTCTCTTTTTTTTTTTCTGATTGATCATCTATTATTGTAATAAGTTAACTAATATTATTTACATATTTTGTAGTTGATATCTATGCTGGATATAAAAGAAGTCTATAATGATTTCCAGAAACTAAATAAAACAGAAAGTTGTATAGTACTAGTATTGAAAACAGAAGCTAAAATCGCTATTACCTCACCAGTAAGTTTGAGTTTTATAATAGAATTTGGAAAAATTTCCTCCTAATATTATGTTCCGTGGGTCATTTAGTCTAAAATTCAATTTAGATCTTTGTTTCGATAACAGACTGGTACATGACAAGGAATATGCTAGCCTGCCTAACCTCATTTGTTCCCGCTGCTAAAGACTGCTGTATGAAAGAAAATTAGTGAAATAAATATGTTACTTATTGTAGTCCCGACATGGCGTACTTTGTGCTGCATGGATGAATTCAATAATTTGCCGAGTTATTGTAGAGTAGGTTTCCATGTAATTTGAAGGAGCTCCACCTCTTTCTTAGTCCTTTACAGTTGTCTTATAGGAGAGAAAATCTCCCCCAGTATTGAGACAAATTAATCATACTCAAACTGAAATTGATCAGTCCTAATCAGCCCAGAAAAAAATGTTATTTTACTTTCTATTTTTAGGATAGAGTGCTGATTACACAGTGGAAAGATGAAATTATTAGCGCTTTTAAAATATCTGCTCAAATAATGGCTAATATGAACAAGAAAGCCAGTAAACTATATGGCTCTGATCTTACTAATAGTCCAAGTAATGAAAACTTAAAATCTCCTTTAGAACACCGAAACAGTAACGGTGGAAGTTAATATGTTAGTCTTAGAATTATCACGGTTTTTTTCATTTTAAAAACATACATAACATGGATATGGGATTGACAATACAAGTAAATGCTATAAAGAATGGATTAATTTCTACATGCAGAACTTCGACAACCCTGTTCCATGTAATTCCATATTTTTGATTAATAACAAATAATATAGTGAACTTCATATTTTAAGTATTGAACGTCCAGTGATCATGTTCAATAATAATAAAGACACAAGCATTCTCATAATGTGATGAACTGGAAAAACAGATCTAGAGAATTATATGAATCTATATGAATATATATAAATGTGTGTACAGTGATCTAAGTCTGGTGTAGAATAGATTATCCAGAAAATACAATCAACACGAACAATGCAGTGGCATCTCACTAATGCTCAAGGGAGATAACCGTGTGAGTGGTGTGGTATTGGAAGGATAAAAAAACTTATTACATCAAACTGATTTCTTAAAACTATTTATTTTAGATCTCTCCAACTTTTTATGTGTGAGCTCAGTGTACGTACATGTGAAGGTCGTATACATGTGATGTGTTTTATTTTACGTTACTTGACATCAAATCTGTGTCGCCTGTGCATGTCATGTTAATACCATGACAACATATAATTTATTATTATTATGGGATGCATTAAACAGTCTTTCATCTGTTCCTGTGACTTGGTGCAGAGTCTGTGAACAATGAACAAAAAGAAAAAAAAGGTTAGAAAACATCAAGAACATCAAAGACAGCTTCATGACAACAAAAATCACTTCTGTGCAAGTATCTGTCACCATGACAGCCCATAAGAACAAAACCATGACGACAGAATAATGTGATAAAGATGACTCCATCACTCCGATGTATCCTAGCGACAGAAAAAGGTTGCTATAGAGAATGTGCACATGTATTAGCTATGTCACCTATTCTATAATAGCCTGTATATGCTAGTATTGTCATATTACTCTGTGTTCGAAAGGTTAAATATTTTGTTTCTTATTTATTCTCTCTATATAGGCTGGCCCTGTAATACAGTATGTCTTATTTTATGAGTCACATATTAAAATAATTCACTTCCTGTGGATGTATATGTATATATTATATTTTATGCTATATCAGTGAATACACATGGTAACACTCCCGTGTTATGTTTTGAACAATGGCTATAAGCAGCTAGTCCGTTTAATTAATAGAATCCTAAGGAAGAGCAAGTGTTGCTTTCTGAACTTCAAAGTAAAATATGATACAAGTATTTGAAAGCCTACTTTTCATTTCCACTTGGTAAACATATAGAACTATTCAGTTAATTTGTAAATTAATATCAATTAACTCAACTAAATGCTTTGAGTTATGTTAAGTCAGTACCCTATGATAGAATTATGCCATTTCAGGAGTCTGTTAAGAAATACTGTCCATAATGGTGATTTTTTTTTTAGATTTTTATTGACAATTTTGATATTTTTGGAAGACTTGGTATCTTTATACAAAGAAGAATCTCAATCTCATTGTGAATAGCTTTCAAGTATACCGTAATATTCTTTCTGTCCTCCAAACGTCTAAATCCTCATAGACTCTGGCATGTTGTGTAAATACACGTTACTAGGAATTTCTGTAATTCTTTTGTCAATGTAAGAAAGTGGGTTAAGATTTGATAGATACAGACATAAATACATATGTAGATACATCTAAATCCTTATGTATCCAGCTGGTTATTTATGAACACTGCCGACTGTAAAAATTTTTTATTAAAAACATGCTTCAATTAATATTAACACTGCCTAGACAACTCCTATAATCTTACTCATTTAATATCATACCTATTATATTATGTTCAATTTCATCTGGGATCTCTATATGTTAGTCCCAGATTTTACACAAGTTTAACATTTATGTTTTTGTTCAATGACAACTGATTTTGTTGACAGAACTTGTCCTTATCAACACGTGTATGTATTTTTGAAATATTGTATTAGATATTATATCAGTACCTGTATATCCACTCTGTATATATACGTTTTAATTGTTATTTCAAAATTATCATTAACTTGATATTGGAATTCAAATATATCTACATTCTCTAAAAATGTTTACTCAGAATGGTTCAAGTATCTTATTATAATATGTCTCAAAATATTGAAGTTCACAGATTGTCAAGTTGTAGAGATGGATTTTACTTTTACTTCAGTTTGCCCTGTTGTGTTGTCCTTTATTAATACAATCATACAGTTCTATTCATGTTCAATAGAAAGAGTCCAAATTCTGAATACTACAGCTAGACAGTCAAGATTTGAAGTGATAAATTTGATAGTGATGTGTAAGTGAGAGATAAACTGAGGTCAGAATCTATAACATGTATAATATGAAATAGATAAACTAGATATTTTTTAAATTTAATGGAGATGATATACTTGTGCACTAGAGAGAATAACTGTGGAGAAATTTGATTAAGGGGAGATAACCTACATATGGACTATTATTAATGTAGTATTTTATCTTGCAATATTTTACCCAAAACAGACTGTAATCAAACACCAACCAACTTACAATTTAGCCACACCAATGTTGATGAAACTTGTCAAGATTCTTTGAGACATCTGTATTTTATTCATAAAGAACATTCTTAATAGAATTGTAATCAACAGTTTGTTACTTTCACTAGTGTTATATGATTTCATTGAAATGAGATACTATGAACTTACATACGTCACAAGCTTTGGGTCATGGTTTTCAGTTTTTGCGCCCCTCGAGTTTTTGTGCCCCCTCGTAAATGGCAAAAAAAAAATCATGCGGTTTTCAAGACTATAATCATAATGCTCAACCAGTGTCAAACATATAACATGGGTCAGATATGCTAGTAATTGACTCTAACATGTTCCACACAGCCCAATATTACTCAGTGGCACTGGGAGGGCCCCCCCACACACACACACACACACACACACATACACATACAAACATACAAATATTGTTTTTGTTGGGCCCGGACGGAATCTTGTTCCTCATGCAAAATCATGGATCACCATGCCCCTGATACATGTAGATATATATTAAATAACATATATTGTATAACAAATAAATGCACAGTAAGGTCTGTATGCATTTGTGTTATCAATATGAATGGCATGCTATGTGATGTATCAAACCATGGACCCTATTTAAGGTCAGTGGTCAAACTCAATACAAAAAACAGTTAATAATGACTAATTTGTGTAGAAATTCTCATAAATAAGCTAAATATTTTTGTGTGATATGAATTGGCACAAGGTTTAAACTTTTAAGAAGTGGCATCACTTTTTCAATGAATTGGCAGACATATTTTTTCACTGTGTGTAGTTTGTACTATATTGATTCAGAGCTTTGATTGGCTCTTACTATTGTGTGACTATGGATAATAAACAAACAAGGTGTCTGTGAATTATATTTATTTTTATTTATTGTACGAGAGAGGTAAAAGTCTATTTTTGAAATTAAACCAGAGCTTTACGAAAATAAGAAATAGAAAGGTTTTGCCATATTAGTGAATTCTTTCACTTCTAGTCATTAAAACAAATAATATCTTTTGAATTCAGAATTTATATATCTTGGCAAATAGACCACTTCATTTGTCTAATACCCGTCCCACAAAGTTCTAAATTGTTCATAATAATCAATTGTAATTTGAAGTATGACAATTTGAAGTTTACATTGATTGATATTTATTGGTTATCTAGTTTGTGGAGAATACTCAAACCAAATAACTCTTTTTTTCCTCAGAAATGCTGGGAACTTTACAATCTGATTAAAATACAGATCTATATTTCGTTTCGTTTTTTTTTTATACTTTTGATGGCCTACACTGTCTACATGAAGATCTGACAAGTTGTACTCAAAGGTCGTGTCAGGGGTCATACGAGGGGCTTTTGACCCTATGATGTCAGACATTGATTAATCAATCAGCGTTGACGTTTCTAGTGGTTTACCCACAGTTCCGTGCATGCTTGTTAAGAAGTCGCCGTAACAGACCGTTTCATTGGCTTATCCCTCACTTCAACCAAAATGCTGGTAATATAACAACTCTTCCCGATCCTAGTTTAGTAAAGACCAGTAAAACGAAATTTTGAACTATAAAAAACAAAACAAAATAGGATCTGTGTTTTAATCAGATTGGGAACTTTAGTAAATAACCCTGCCCACCCCTTATGAAATTAAGAAAATGAAAAGAATTTGGAGCCAGTACACTTAGATAAATAAAAAATTAAGACTTTGAATGATGCAATAGAACTTGATCATCTAGTCAAAAATATTATGTCTATTTTTCTAGTGTGGACCACACATGGGTAAATTAGTTTTAGAAGATATTTTTAAATATGTGCAATGTCAAACCGCAGACTGGATGCTTCCTCCCCCTTCATACAGAGATAATGACTATGTTTTAGTGTCAACCACATATGCATGCCAGATTATAAGGGTAGTTTTAGAAGATATTTTTAAAGACTAGATCTTTCCTTCCCCCTACATACAGAGATTGGTAATTTAGTTGTTTCACATGATAAAAAATTATTATTTTTAAATTTTTGAATCGTCAGTTTCAAAGAGACAAAATGGTTGTCAAAAAGTATGGATCATCCATATATTTATGTAAATTAAGTGTCAAGTCTCCATTAAAGTATGTCTTAAAAAAAAATCTAATCCACAAAGAAGTTGTTGATTTGTTTATTAGTATGAAAGTGTGTTTGTTGATAATTTTTAAAGGTATATATTTGAATTTATTATTATTATTATAAAGACCTAGGATGTATATGTATTTTAGTCAATTCATGGGACATAAGATGAATCTTTATTATTATTATTATAATTATTATTATTATTATTACCTGCATAATGTATGATAAAAGTGTATCTTGTGGTGCGGTAGTAATTAAGCTGAATGTGCAATTTATCCTTTGTTAACCAGGACGGTTAATATTTACATGAAATAATAAAATAAGCTCAAAAGCTTTGTGGGATAAGAAACAACTTTTGAGAGTTCCCTCAAATTTTAGATTAATTGTATTGAATTGTGACATGTATCTGGATTTTATAGCTATAATGTCTAAATTTTGAGAGAATTATGAATAAAAACAGTATATATTAATATTATTTATATACGGTATATCCAATAAATGTGCTATTTGAGCAATTGTTAATATTCTTGTTAATTATGTAATTGTACAAAAGCCTTTAGGTTTTTTTTTACTCTTTAATTAGAAATATTACTGTGCTATGTATTAAATATAAAGAAGAACCATTTTTTTGTTTCCATCTCTATCAATCTAAGTGTGTAAATATCAAACATTGTCTTTATTAAACATGGAATCTCTTATTAGTATTGTCAAGGATTTCTGATCCATGGTTTTCCACAGGGTTAAAATAAAGGACAATATAACATTCAGTTTTTATTATTTTATTTTTTTGTTTTCTGACAGGGTATGATCTTGTCCAATTGAAACTAAGCAAGGATTACTGGTAGATGAAAAACCCTTTTGAAATTTGATCAGCTTACTGTAGATAAGGATAGCACAATTGTGTCCCTTGAATTACTTGGATTATAATGAATCGTTAAGGGCTGTGCTAAATTTGACCCTATGTTTGTATCCTTTTGACGATTACATGAAATGAAAGGGGGCTTAACATCCTACTGTTCTGCACCCACTTGGCTAATGAAGACGGGCGTACGGCATACAGTGTGCTATGAGAGAAATTTTGTTGTGACAGCGTCACTAAGGCCTAGTCTTAATTTGAATTCCAACTGTCAAGGGTTCTTTAAGTGCATTTTTGGTCCCATCTGAATGACTAGACACTGTTCCTTGTCAGGCCCCCCTTCCTGCACCACTGACAAAGAGAAAATATGCCAAAAAAGCCAGAGGAACTTTCTCAACTAACACTGGGAACAAACCTGAGACCTAATGGTTAGCAAGCCAGTGTCCTACTCACTGAGCCACTGTCGCTCCCTGAAAAAATTAATGATGAAATGACTGCTATGAAAAAATCTTTCATTGGTAACCATGTTACATGAAAAATATTCTCATTATACACCACCTCGTTAGTTGATGCTCTGGTTATGGTGATAAGTGGAAGGTTAGTATGCCCAGATATTATTAATATGTGGTCACTCCTGTTCGTCTTTCCCTGTTCACTAAGTTCAGTTCTTGATCGATTCTCATCAAATTTTAAGGGAAAGTTATTAGTATCCTGGTAAAGATGACCTCAAAATTAATTCCAGATGTATGGCCCGACTTATTGATTGTTGAACAAATAATAGGAGATACTTGACTGAACATTCTGGAATTGAATCCTCAAAAGGTGTCGATCAGGAGAATGTCAGGGGACTGAACATGATACCATCTTAATAAATCACCAGAGCTTAAAACATTTTATTACACTACAATTCTGCTCACACCAAACACTTGTGGGCATTCTAGAGGCTAAAGTTATCTGATAGAATTGAAATTATAGTGTTTTAAGTTCATGAGAAGAATAAGTCTACTGATTTTCAAATTTCTGATAAATATTGTCAGATTTATCACCCTTGATCAATTTGTATAGCCATATGGATAATCTAGAGGCGAAATCCAATTGATTTTAAATTTATGTATTTATCCTTTTGATTAGAAATTTATGTAGAGTGCTGAAGTTCACAAGAAGAAGAATCCTATAAGCCTATTGATTTTTATGATTAGTCTGGAGTTATGTCCCTTGATCAATAATTTTGCGCATGCCAAAAAAGCTTAAAGGGCAAATCCCGATTAAATTTTGGTGAATTAAGCCAAGCAACTAACTCAAAATATGTGATACATTTTCAAACAACTTAAACTCGCCAGTCTTCATCTAGAAATTTTGACCATTTTCCCAAGCTGTATTATACTGTGTCTGGATAAAAACCAGACTTTTATTTGATAAAAATAAGGGGTAGGTGAATTTTCCTGCACTGTATAGACCTCTAAAGGAATGGCAATTGATTATCAGGTCACCCAAAGAAAAATTTGACCCGAAATCTTAAAAGGGTTAATTTTATGTGTACGGATAAGTGGTTTTGACGTTCAAGTCCAAATGACTCAATATTTTGAGCTGAAATTCGGAGACAAGGTAAATACACCATTCCGCTTTATTTTGGCAATTAAATTTTATATGTACATGGACTTTTATTTTTGAGACTCTGTTGATATCGGGATAGTCCCTTTAAGTTATTATTGATGACTCAAATAGCTTAGTTATCTAATTACTGGTACATGTTTTATGTAAGTGCTTGGACGAACTAGTCCTCGATCGATTTTTATACGCCCACATTGAAATGTGGTTGTATATTGTCGTTGCCTCCGTGCATCCGTCCGTCCGGGGTCCACAATGTTTAAGTTCATGAGATGTAGAAGCAGGGTTAGGGTTGGGATTAGGGCTAGCCCTGTTTACATCTCGTGACACATGACGGAAAATTGGGCTGGCCTTAACATTTAACGCTAACCCTGATTTCCTTGGGCCCCCATCGCACTGAACTGACATGGCGAGAAATGAAAGTATTTTATTTTACCGAGGATTAAAAAAAAAATCCAATTTGGGACGATGGGTCCAGGCTGACCCCCCGTCCCGAGTTCGCCCTCTGACCAAGTCCGACGGTTCGAGTTTTAGAGGCCCAGTCAGGTCCTCATTACGTGTCCGCAATCCGCTTTTTTCTTTCAATAAACTTTTATTTATTGCCTAATGTCAGGCAGTTATTATTCGAAACAAATTAATTAATTATAACTCATCTGCAGTAAAAGAGTCTTATTTTTTCGCCATTATATCACGAAATCCAATCAACAGCACAGATCAAAGACATCTAACATATTATTTACCTGTCCGCGCAATGACTTCTGGGATAATTGTCTGTTGTATGTCGCACGCGACGAAGCGTCCTTAGTGACTGAAGTAAACGAGGTAATATTCGTTTTGTCACGGACCGACTTGCTAAAAATTATGACAGTGTGAATACTTACGGAGTAACGGCATAGTGTCAAAAGGTAATATTGTTATTTAACTTGATATTTCAAATCTAAAAACATTTATTTTATATGAAACGATATATTTTCATAAGAAATATATACATACTTAAGGTGTAATATTCATTATAAGGCAAAGTGTATAGTATCATTATTATATATTGTTATAAGGTAGCTCATTCTATAGATCTACACAATCGTTCTTATCAATCAAGAGGCAATGTGGTCAAAGATTGGCCGATATACTATTCATATTATATCTATAATAGGATAATATGAGATGTGTAAATAATTTTATAGTTTATTATTATATATACAAGAAAGGATATACATAGATATCAAAAACTTATCATTGTCTTATATTAGTCTACAGTACATATTTTAAGTCTAAAGCTTATGTTCTTGTGTTTGGGTATAAAATAAAGCTGTCTTTTTAAAGAGTAGGCTTACTTTTTATCCCTTTAATTATTTAGTAATATTATTTAAAGTGAGATTTATATTGAAAGACCGCATTCACAATCTAACTGTAAGTTCTTGATAATACTGTACATTAAGATACTTGGCAGAACTCATGAAAAAATAAAAATGAATATCAAGCAAAATTATCATTCACGTACTAATCGGTAAAAAATCTTCTGGATATTATATGGGCCATGCAAGCAAGAGTTGGGGAAAACTTCGAGCGTGTAAAAGATAACCCCAGAGAAAATCGTTACAAAGTTTACAATGTAAAGACCGAATGTATCTTTCTAACTTTTAATAACGGACTGAACTCCATTACCTTTCTTAATTATTTTCCTCCTGATTTGTCCTGATGAATTTTTGATTTTTTTGGGATTATCTTGAAATAACCAAATGAAAGACTTTTATTTTCTTTTTCAAATTCGTAATACCTCTTTGATTCAATCAGAAAGTTGGATATAGTAATAATGTTAAAAGATGTCCTTCGTATTCCAGTCCACAATCGTCGTTCGATAATTATGCACAGTTAGAAATTGTACCATGACCGATAAAGACATCACACAATCTGATGTTGAGCTAATTAGTTTCACATTAATCGAATTAATCAACAGATTATGTGCATATCCAATTAATAACTTAATTGTTGAAGCGGACGTTAAAGTCTCTGTGCGTCATTTGCATTTGTCGGCAAAAATTTTTACCCGGCTTAAACCACTCCAAAATGCACCCAAAGTAGCTAAGTCTAACATTGAAAACACGAATTATTTGTCAATTTAAATCAACATTTATGTTGTGATCTTACCGGGAAAAGATGGACTTCTGATATCCAATATTTAAGACAAAATAAACATTTTACCATTGGTACACGAATCGTGTACCATAATGCGTTTCAGCGCCATTTGTAACAAGGGACTCTTGAAACGGTGACGCTAGATTCTTATCTGGAGAGCATGCGCAATAAATACTATCTGTGTAGACTGGAATGACCAGACGCTAGAGATTGTCATTCGGTTGAGATTTTTGGAGTATTTCGCCGAACATAACTGATTAGAATTTACAGTAAAAACAGAAACGATTGAATGTAAATCAGTTTATATACATTCATATTACATTATTATATGTGTTGCGACCGACTTGTGTCAATTTCTAGGTCACAAATATTAGCCATTTAGCTCCTTTAACATATTTTTGAGAAGATTTTGTTGACAAATTCTGAACGGAATTGAACTATATTTCGACTAATATTCTTTTTGGAGATTCAACTTTTGTAATAATATAGTTGCAAGGGATTCCTCAATCCCTGAAATTACGTTCATAGACTTTGAGTGAAGTTATTTCACACACACACACACACACAGAGCCAGAGGACAGGCCGCTAGATCGACAATAGTACCCCCACCCCCAACCCATTATAAACATATTTATGGTACAAAAGTTTTCTTTTAAAGAACTGATTTGGGAGCCCCTGTGATATTGGAGTCCCTGTGCCCTATAGTCAGTCCCGCCCCTCAACCTCCGCCTTTCCCCCTGCCCAGACCAGTAACCATATTTTAGTTTAGATAATAGAATTTGATTACCTCCCTGGATCTATACTTTACACGATTGTTATTTACAATGTTTTGCCTCTTATTTTTTTCTGTCCTTGAGGTATCTGAATAGGGTCTATTTAAAGCTTTAGTTTCTTTTTTTCGTGATGTGATAATAATACGTAAAATATTATGAAGTATAAATAATGTTTAATATAGGTCTATACATGTAAGTCTATATTGATATAAGTTATAACTACTTACTGTGTAAACTTTCTACTTAAACCCTGATGACCTCCTCATTTAAATAAAGTAAGAGTAGTTTATTTGTTTAATACACTATAGAGATATACATATATACCACTTATACTAGAAGAATAGGGGGCTTTATACTACATGATTATATCACTTGAAAACCATCTCCCAGGTTATAAATATAACCAGAGTCTTATAAAAACGACCGTCTTCATTAGCCCAGTCGGAGCAGAACAGTGGGACGTTAAACCCCATTTCATTTATCTTATATATACGGTTCTGAATATAACGCGAGGATAGAGTATCGCTGGATTGGCTTATATTGTCTGTCGCTCGTGGCACAGATGTTTTTTGTTTGAAATTATTTGAAGGAAACAATAAGACAAAAGTTTCAATTCATTTATGTATTGATTTGCGTAATAAATTCTCTTGAAAACATAAACATTCGAGTGGAGCGATACTTTATTCTCTGTGTGTGAGAAAATATATGTATAGCTTACCGTCTGTTGTCATTTTGTATTTTAATAATGGTGCCTCTTGTTACATATTACGCGGTATTGACAATCATTTAATTTCAAACTTTTGAATATTCATGATCCCAGTTAAATGTTTAGTATGTATACAATAGAAATTATACGGGAGTCATTAATTAACAGGTGTGTAACTCGCTGTAAAAGATGTCACTACTGGTGGTTATTTATAACATCTATCACTATTGAATTCACAAACCGAGACAATAGTGGTCTATATCATTCAACAGTCACCAGTAAAACACCTTAGTGACATAACACCTACTTAATGACTACTGCCTGATTACTAACAATTTTAACTAACTAATACACATGACGACTTTGATCTATAAAGGTTATTTGTTGCTTAGTCAACGATATCGACTTTACAGACTACAGTGATAATTTATCGATATTGTAGGCTATACCTTTCAACAACAAATTCAACCCAGCTAATGTAAATAAAGTATAAATATGTTTTCATGTTATGTTTATACATACAATATGATTTAAGTAAATAAAATATGTATGTACATATAGATATGTTCTTATCTATACTATCTATATGTATACAATACATGGATTATACATTATCTTTCTCGGCTGCAACACACATTAAAGTGATTTTATATAAAAGCCACTTATATCGCTACGGGTTTTTATCATGTTAGACCACAGTAAGCCTTATATATACAACATAATTAAACATGACCTTAGTCATACTGAATTATATAGATCTCACATTATTAGAAAAGGTCGAATTGATCTTGCTGATATGAACTATTTGGTCATGGTAACATTATATTTCAATGAGCAATATTTACTCAATTTACTTTAAAAATAGAATTTGTTACGACGTAATAAAATATATAGAATATTAAAACCTACGACCTTTTATTCACTTCAGATACCCATGGACAGCATTATAAATTTATAATTGTGTATTATAACACATGTTTTGGAGGGTCTGCCCCAAACCATAACTGCCATGGTATAATTTGTGTTTTTCATTTCGAATATTATGGAAAATATTGAATTGGAGGTTTAGCCTCTTTAGCTTTGTGTTAGAGAATGTACTTTTTATGTGGAGTTTTTAAATAAAGGGATATTGTTTATAGACAGTGAAATTTTCCATACACACACACCTCAGTCATCGTTATGCTAGAGAATGTACATTATATGTGGAGTTCCTAAGTAGAAGAAAGATGTGACAGGCAGATGTTTTATTTGCCAAATCTGTAGTCAGAAGGTTTTATAGTTGTCACCATCTCCTTGTTAATTATTAAAGACCTGTTGAACCAAAAGAAGGTTCCCGTTTCATAGTTTCCATTTTACATATTATGTAGTAGTCACCAGTATCGTGTGAGGGCCCTTACATAGTTAAGGGTGCATAGGAGATCTGTTGAATTAAAACATAATTCCTGTTTCATTGTTCACATAATTATTACAGTAATTACGACAGTCGTGCGAAAGGCATGATATGTCCACTCTTTATTGAAGCTGGTGCCATTTTGACACGTTCGATTGGAAACTTTCACAAACTGTCACACTAATATGTTGTTATTTTAGTGTTTATGGACTTTAAATTCTACTTTCTGTTAAGATCGATCGATTTCTTGTTTTTAGTAATCTAATCTATGGCCCAATCACTAGCATTATCTCTTCTTACAGTAACTTATACTTTGCAAATCTTAGTAACCAGATATTGGCAGATGTTGACCCAGCTTTTATTTATTCATGATATCAGATAAAACATATCAGATAAAGGCAATGAAATAAAGGAATACATATAATTTATTTATAATAATGTCCTTATAAAACTTCACGCATTTCCTTGTAGGAACGACAATAAATCAACGAGTTCGTAAAAAATATATAATATAAATACAAGAAACAAGACTGAATTTCAACTTCAGTGACTTCGTGACTTCAAGAAAATAGATAAAAGAAATAACAACCACCACTTTTCTTGTCAAAACTCCCATTTCCCGATGTTTCACTAAGTCGTAATTAAAACGCAGGTTAAATAAAAATAAGTGTAAATTGTTGTATCAATCATATACGAGACTAGTAACGGTAGTTTAGACACGGATTTCAGAATTCCATTGGCTAAAATGTGACCTCGGGGTCTTCGATCACCAGTTACCGTAGAGTCATTTAGTAATATCCGGGATTGTCATTTCGTAGTTATTTGCTGATTAGTAAATCATTAATATTGGTATATTTAGCTTAACAAAATAAATCGAGACGCAATAAAAACGCACCACTTTTATAAATGTATGATTGTAAATCTCATTAATCTTGCAAGTCTGAATGTAACAACACATACGAATGGTGTTTTCACGATAGCGTATACCACATATTATTTCTCTATCAAACACAGAAAATCGAATTCGACAGAATGAGAATGGTGAAATTCAGTACAAAAGTTCTGTGGGTGACACCTGAACACCAAAAATACACCAATGTCATTCAAATCAGTGGTGCGTTTTCATTTATCTCAGACAAATGGATCATTTAAAAGTCTAAAAAAACACCGCATATTAAGTGAAAAAGAACATATTTACAAAATATATTATTTTGTGTTTGTAAACTGTGACATCGAATAGAGTACAAACCTTAGAAATTCAGAATAATGAAATGTGAACAAACTATGGTGGCCTGAAGACATGTGGAAATGATAGTAATTTGGAACCGCTACACAGCGGGTGTTCTCATTATAAAATAACATGTTATGATTTTTGAGAGGATGTCTGTGAGACCAGTGTACTATAGTAACCATGATTTATTGATTATTGTACCTTGATCAATATTCCTGATATTAACTTCAGACTTCGTGACATTGTTTAATACCTTGATTGATTGGCGTTCGAAAACTGTTAATAATGCACATAAATAATAAAGGGTGTTTATCTAAAAAAAATCTATCTCTGTCTTTTGTTTTGTTTTGTAATACTACAAATATATGGAAGCCACTGTAAATCCTTAGAGGATTAGTGATTATTTCGTCTTTCTTATGTATAGGAAGACTTATTCTTTGAAAATGCACGCCGGATGTTGTCACCTTTTGCCCTACGTTTTAGTCCATTTGAGAATGTGACCGATCGGTTGGAATTAAGAAATATTTTAGCTATCATAGCTGTATATCTACAAAAAAAGAGAAGAAAGGGTTCGGAAACATGTTTCAACATGCATGTAAATATCAACTATCACAAATGTTCAAATTACTTAATCAAGTGAAAGACAACGCACATTTGTTTTACTCGAGTATTATATTAGAAATTGGCACAAATCGTATATAATGCCTTATAATTTTTTATATGTTTATACACAGTAAACACAGAAGTACTTGTACTTTATCTACTTTAATCTACATATTTATATAATAATATATAGTTATTGAAAAACTGGTCATAAATAGTTTTTCCATTCATATTGAAAATATAATAAAATTCTTGTATTTCAATCTTCTTCTTACACCCTCTGTTATTTGTGTATACATATTGAAATTTAAGTGTTTGATAAAGTCGCAGCGGTTTCCAAAAAAAAAGAAAATTAGAAGAGTATCACATACGAAACTGATCGTAAATTTAGTGTTTGAAATTTGACACTATACTATACATATCACCTACAATGTCGGGTATATAAAAATAAATTATTTGATGAAAATGTCTATGCAGTGAAAAAAGTAATTGAACATTTATGAGCCCAATTTTAAAAATCTCTCCCATTTATTTATTGAATTTGGCGGTTATCTTATTAATACAAACTACATGTATTGAAAAAAAACCCTGTTGAATTAACAAGTGAAAATTAAATTTAATCATGTCTCTGGCATAAAAAATACACCCTTAAAGACTTACAGATCACAGTGTCAACAAACATTACCCCAGATATTAGGTAGTAAAGGTCGCCATCTACGAGGCAGGGTTTCCTGACTATTTAAAACCACACCGAAAACACTCCTCAATTGAGGAGTTCGCATAGCTAACATAATTTTTTGAACTATTGTATCTCTAAGAGAGATCAAAAGCTCTGGAAGTTACTATCTTTTATAGCAGACTTCGGATACATAATAAGTACTATTTTATTTTAGTTACATGTACTTGTATGTGAGTTCCGTACGATGTTCCTACAAGGATACTATATCCAATTAATGATCATAATTACAGATATTGGATCTGTGAAGATGAAGGAGAAGATCTATGGATGGTATCCATCTATAAAAGATGTTTATAACGATAGGATTGGTGTTCCATCCAGCTATCGTAAGTACACCAAACAAAATTATATTCACTCGGTCAAAATGTAACAGACTGACGTAATTTCTACACAGGGGCGTGGCCAGGAATTTTAGCAGGGGAGGGTCCAAGGTGGAGACAACACCAAGTTTGGCGTGCGGTCTGGGTGATTTCCCGAGGTCGGAAGCTGTTAGACATTTCTGCTCATTTAGTTGCAAAGTATGTACCACACTGATCCGCAGTGAATATTTGCTTGGCCGCGACAATCACTGCTAAGGATGACATTGTTGCGGCTTAATGAGCTAGAAATATTAACTTTTTTCCTGCGACAAATTAAATTCTAAAACATTTTTTGTATATATTGGAAAAATAAATAAAGGCGTTTTACGTATTTGTAGGTAAAAATTATTTCCTATTTAGTGTAAATGGGTATTAAATTGACTAAAATGCAGCATTCTCTCCGAAGCAGTTATGTCTTATGTAAACAATGCACGCGCCATTCAGCCAATGATTCACACCGCGTGCTGTGACAGCACGTGTTAAGGCAGTCATCTATGACAGATATATTATACGAGACTCGTAATTCTCTGTGAAACAGATTGAGTATGTATATGTACAAGATTAGAGTGGGGTGAGAAGAGAGAGAGAAATGGGGTTTAACGTCCACTCGACACAAACTAGGTCATTTCGGGACTAACATATGGTTTTAATTTTATTTCAATAATTCGCTTGCGCGTAGGGGTCTTTAGCAGTGGGAGGAAACCGGAGGACCCGGAGAAAACCCACGAGGTTGGACAGGCGACCCTACTCCTTGTCACGTACAACTGGGGATTCGAAACCACGCCAATCGACTCAATGACAGACTTTATGCTACAGCGCGCGCATGCTAACCATTCAGCCATCCAACCCCCCAGTGGGGTGAGGACAAAACGTTTGTTTGTATGACCATATTTCGATGAACATATATTTACAATACAGCTATTTAATTCAAAATATAAAGTGAATAATATTTATGTTCTAGTAATGGATTGAAAATCAAGATAATTATATTCGAAGGTGTTGTCGAATTTTACCAGACGTTTTGTATTATGACACCATTCTTTGAATTGTATTGTAGATTTGGAATGCCTTTATAAGTTCCAGGGTACTATGTACCAAACAAAACCTATTCGACCTGGTCCAGATAATCTAGTTATACAGGGTCATTCAGCAACCTCGCCTGTCAGAAGTCGTCCATCAACTGCTGTCAAATCTCCAATCACTCTAAACAGACAAACACCTCAACGCCCGAAAACCGCTCCTATTCCCCAATATAGACCAATAAAAAAATTACGCATCCCAACCCCCCAAGAATGTTGGTCTACGGGTCTAGACGAAACAGCGTACAATCAGTCCTACGTTGAGACTTATAAACCTCCACCAGTTCGAATTCCTTCAGCAGAGTCAAGTCAAGATATACCATGCTATAATCCTACCCCTGTTTATACGACGCCCCCACCTGATGTTCCCCGCCACACGAGCCCAAGAGCCCAGAGCGCCTCCATCCATCGACACCGACAGACGAAGTCTAAAAGACCAGTAAAGTCAGCTGGACCTATTCGTTCACTGATGACACCAAATGCAACACCTCTTACAACACCTACCCCGGTCCACAACGTTTCAGGCCCCATACCAACACCACCAGAAACACCAGTTGTTATCCCATCTCCAAGTCCAGTCCAGAAATTAAAACTAGATCAACCGGAAATTAATTTATTCGACGACAATGGTAAAGTTATTCCAGATTATGACCAAGAAAAGAAGAAATACGGCTGGGCAGTCGAAGTTCACGGAAATCCTTATAAATACAAGTAAGAGCGAATCCTATATTTGACATATCTTGTTATTTCTAATGTAATATACCCCAAAATGTGTGGAATTATGAAGGATGTACGCAAGAAAAACTAATAAATTAGCATTCAAAATTATATCCAAATACACATTTGCCTTTGCTTCAACCTGATACAAGAGAATATCACATTTACCAAGTGTTTTGAACGGGTAAGCCACAAGGAAATATCTCTCTTGCCAAGTGTTTTGACTGGGTAAGCGTAAGTACACACGATAATTTGATCCGATAATATCCATGATACCAAAGAATGATCCTACGGAGCTTTTATAGAAATCGTCCATGGATATCCCCACAAAGGAAAGACGATCTCAATAAATTATAGCAATCGCAAGTACGTTTCATTCCGACCCTTCAGCGTTCACGATTCCTAATTAAAATTAAACAAGTAAACAAATATAAAACCGAGATTCATTTTTTTATTGCTTATAATTTTAAACCTAGAATTTCTGTCTCCGTATATTTGCAGGAACATTCCCAGAAGACTTCCATACTCAATGAAAGTAAGTGAACCAGAAGTAGCACCTCAGCCCCCAAAGATTCACATGGAAACGAACGAGACGTTTTTTCAAAATACGATACCACGACGTCCACTGGCTTATAGTATCAACAAAGATTGGGTCTCTGAAATAATTCATGCCAAACGCATGCAGCTTCAACAGAGAGAAGGGATCAAATATAGATGGAAAAATTTTGCATTTGTTTACTAAAATTCGTATAATTAAATGTATATACGTCGTATAGAAGCTGAACCACTTAAAGTTGATAATAGAGACTTTTGGCTAGCGGATTTTTCCCATCCGTATCCCGTATCGTATGCGTGATACGTTGCGTCAATGTAGTTTTAGAGTTTTGGCAGATTTTAGCAATTTTTGGTTTCACTAATGTATCATTTCAGAAAGTTTAGCCCGTAGATCAACCAGTATGCAGACAGGCGGGAAAAATATGAAAATTCCGAGAAAAACCCATCAAAAATAATGATTAAATTCCAGTCGTTATCACTGTTAAAATCACATCAAATATACACCTTCGTGTTCTAGGATACACATAGATTCATAAAAACGCTATGATGCAACATTTCAGCGTATAAAAGTAGCAAAAAGACGGTAAAAAGACGACAGCGTTATACGGACCATTTCCGTATGAAAGCCGTTCCATACGTGCTGCCGTATCCGTGTGACGTATCACGTATGAGAAATACACAGACATTGATGACGTCACACCCAAAATCCATACGGATACGCGATACGGACCAGGAAATTACGCTTGCCAAAAGTCTCTATTATGTATGAAAAACACTTATCGTCTGAAAAATTTGTGAAATCCATACAAAATTCGATTCAAATAGTGACCCCTTTTATTTATTAAAAATACGTGTTCGAGTTACTTACTGTTTATAAATAGTAAGCTAACAATATGCAAAAGAGTATAGGGGTTATAATCTTTCATTAGCCCTGTTTGTATCGTAACACGCTGGTAATAACAAGCCAACGCATTTCACAATACATGATACACAAATCACCTCCCAGTTGTTCGGCCACTGACAGTCTCACATTATACGTTAAGTGAGGGTAACTGTCTCTCATAGTAACTTTTACAGCATATAAAATATCATAAAAGTCTAATTTACACGGTGTTAGAGGCGAACGTTTTTGATTTAAATCAAATATAATGATGAATGGATTAGATTGATCTGATTAACCATTTCGATTAGTTATAAGTTTACTCACTTCATTTCAGTTAACCTTGTCTTTATCTTTTATAAACCCAGATCTCACAAAATGGAGTTATACATCATAATGGGCACTTTTATTCTTTTGACCAAAATGAAGGAAATATTTTGAACTTTGAAATATATTAAGTTTGGACGGACACAGTTTCCACAGAAATCTGAAAATGTTTAGAGATTTTTTGTTGAAAAGTGTTATAAGCTCCAGTAAACATTCAAATGATTTCGTATAACAACATTCTATCGCATTCTTTATCGTTAGTTCAGCTTCCCTTCCCTGGTAACAGAATAATGTACAAATATATTGATAACCAAATTCTATAAACTGATTAACATGTATGTATTTAGATATGTATATTATGTAATTGTATAATGGAGAATCATAATGTTTGATGAATAAGAGATATGAAAGGCAAACATGTATTGTAATTTTGTATTTATGGTAAACAATCACCTTCTCTTCTCGCTAATGATTGTTTAATTTATATATTGGTATAAGTCATAGATAATATTATTATACATTATATAGCTAAGTCACGATACATGATAAAACTTTTGTATTCGACAAAAAAATGGTAACTTCACACCCAAGGGAGATAATGTGGCAATCCTTTCATTGAAAGTCTCCGCTTACTAAAATCTAATTCGATAGTCCAGAAATTCAAATAATTCTTTCTTTAATTTTGAATCCGAGATGTACAAGTCTAATTAAAAGTAGAAGTTGATTATAAATCCGTTTCTTATATTTCTGACATTTGCACACCGAGTACAACACCAGAAATGAAATGAAATTGGCATTTAATTTAACGGATAATTCTTCTATAATAATAATAATACCATTGACCGTAAAGGGTTCTATTATTATTTGTAAAATAAAATCTCGCTAGTCTGATAAATGTCGTACCTCATTATAGAACGACAGTCTTTTCCGACGCTTACAGTCTATTGTTGTTAATTTAATTTTTATTCTGAAAATTTCGAGATTTCGATCAGAATTTAAATGAAAGCCGTTTTGTGATATGTAAATAATATATTGTCTATTAACGCATATAAACGAATGGTATATTTATAATGCTGATCAGTGTCATTGTCTTAATTTTATGTACCAAAAAACATAACACACGGGCCTACTTTTGTTAACATTGAGATGGAGCAGATTCAGTGGTATTTCAACCAGTTAAATGTTAAAATAAAGCCTTAAAATACATGGCATCTATACACGCATTCCTACCTTATTAAAATACTACCAAATCCTATAATTCATTTGTGTCAGTTAAGAAATTGGCAAATATATCATTTTCTTTTATAATCCAACTTTGCTTTTTAAGGTGTTATTATCACGTGTGCAGGTTGACCGCAGATCCCCGAGGTGGGTATGGGGAGTTCTCCCCAACAAAATTTTTGAAGCTTTGAAGTCGATTTCCTTGCATCTGAGGCATTTAATTGCATAGGCCCTCTCCCATACTCCCCTCTGGTTCTGTTTTGTTTATTCGAGACCGGCTGTGAGCATTTGGAAGGTTAAAATTTTGAGCACGTTTTCGCTTCGATTCGCTCCGCTCTGTCGCTTACATATAAACATGACATATGCGTCCGCAGGCTTCAAAGAATATTTACTGTCCAGATTCTAGCTATGCGCTTTTTGTACTGTCGGTACTGCTAACATGTGCATGTTATATAACCACAGCGTATCCTTTCATACTAAACTCAGGCTGCCTGTCTACAATTAGCTCCGCTTGAGAACAGACACTAAGCTAGTGGACCGACATTTTAAGTCCTAAAACACTAAGTTTAATTCGAAAATTTTGAGAAGTATTTACTCTGCTTCCATTTAATGAAATTGAATAGGTTTAGTCTTTGTATGTATGTCAGATGTGAAACGGCGTAGAAACGCACCCACTCGCCATCCAGTCTCCCTGTAATGGGACCTGCTTTCAGAGCTTAAAGGGACTATCCCGATTTCAAAAGAGTCTCAAAATTAAAAGTCGGAGTACGTATGAAATTTAAGCGCCAAAATATAGAGTAATGGTGTATTTACCTTCTCTCAAAATTCCAGCTCAAAATATTGAGTCATTTGGACGTGAACCTCAAAACTGCTTATCCGAGCACGTAACCCTTTTAAGATTTCGGGTCAGTTTTTTCGTTGGGTGACCTGATAACCGATTCCCGTTCCTTGAGAGGTCTATATAGTGAATGACCCATGTGCTCTACTTGATAACGAAAGGAAAATTTCCCCTACACATTATTATTATTAAATAAAAGTCTAGTTTTATGCATACACCGCATAATACAGCTTGGGACACCGGTCTCCATTTCCAGATGAAGACTGACAGGTTTAAGTTCTTTGAAAAAGTATCACAAATATTGAGTTAGTTGCTCGGCCCTTAGCTAGAGGAATTTGAGAGATTTTAACACAAAATTGAGCAGTTTTATTCTCCAAAAAATATCGGGATTAGCCCTTTAACTACAAAACAATAATATACTAATTTTTGGATATGGTGGCCATTCAGGACAGATATATTTATTCTCGAAGTATGAAGTAGATGGGTCTCTGTGTGCAGAATTGCGTATCCTTTATTATATAAAGATAGATTGTCAGGCAACGAAACAACAGTTTAAGGGTTGTCGCATATTTTTCCTTTTGTCAGTAAGGAGAACGTTTACAACACATGAAAATCTTATTACGAGTAATAACCCATGAAGTGATTATCATAAATCATTAGAATTTGTTTTGATTGTTTGTCTCATGATCGTGAACAATTTATATTAAATTTAGCGTCTAGAGCATCCAGAAGATTTTTCAAAGTGATCAAGGGTCATAATTCTGGCAGTAATTATCGGAAATTGTTGAAAATGACTAGAATCATTCGTCTTATGACCTTAAAATTAAACACTGTGTATAAATCAAAAGTCAATCAGGTATTAACTTTAGCCTCCAGAGCATATAAAAGATATTTTGAAGTGATCAAGTGTCAACTCTGCCAGTAATTATCGTATATCGTTGAAAATCAATAGGCTTCAGCGTCTCATGACCTAAAACACAGTGTATAAATTTAAAGTCAATCGTATATTAACTTTGGCCTCTAGAGTGCCAACAAGATATTTCAAAGAGACCAAGGGCCATAACTCTGGTAGTAACTGTCGGAAATCAACAGCCTTATTCTTCTCATGACTTTAAACACGTGTATAAATTTAAAGTAAATCTGATATTAATTTTAGCCTCAAGAGCGTCCACAAGATTTTTCATAGTGATCAAGGGCCATAATTCTGGCAGAAATTATCGGAGATCGCTGAAAATCAATAGGATTCTTCCTCTCATGGCCTTAAATTTAAAGATATAAATTTAAAGTTAACCTCTAGAGCGCCCACAAGATATTTCACGACCTTAAATACTATGTATAAATTCAAAGTCAATCGGACCAATGGCCATAACTCTGACAGTAATTATTGGAAATCGTTGAGAATCAATAGGATTCTTCGTCTCATGACCTTAAATACTATGTATAAATTCAAAGTCAATCGGACCAATGGCCATAACTCTGACAGTAATTATCGGAAATCGTTGAAAATTAATAGGCTTCTTCGTCTCGACATGTTGGCGTATAAAAACGTAAAATTTATAGTTGCATTTATAAAACTTCAGGGAGCTACGGAAAATTTAAATGACCCTTTTCGCTTGAATGTTTTTCTTTTCTTACATCTCTTTGTTTGAAATAACATCACTAGATAAGAACAATAATAGCGCGGTGACATCATAGAGCACAGTAATGACCAGACCTATTTATGACTTTGCCGATAAGATTACAGATGTATGGTGGCCGATAGTGGCTGTGTACTTTCTCGCTTATTACATACACGATACGAATCACGACAGTATACTAGAGGTCGGCCATTGTCTTAACAAGCTCGGCTTATTATCCCGAAACATCTGCATGATCGCGCATCAATGACTTTCCTAACTGCTGCTACGGCCAGAGGTCCACATTGCTTCATCAGTGCCGACTACGCCCTATCCTCAGCCTTATAGAGTGTGACCAGCTGAAGGGATAGAAACTGCCAGCGGACATCTTCCGTTCAGAGACAGTTCCTAAAGGAACACTGTTGCGATATACCATACCGATGATATTTGAATCGAAAAAAAAAACGCCTAGCCTACACTGTATGTCTCAAGCTTATATCAAATTGATGAAAATTCACTCCTTGGTGAAACTGAAGTCAAACATAATGACTTATAAAATCACTTAGTTCCAACACCGATTTCCTCGACGTCGGATGCTAAGTCCCTGCCCCCCCCCCCCCCAGGAAAAGAAACCAAGAAGACGACTACCAAACCAAAGAAAACGACTACCAAATCGAAGGAAGAAAAACAGAAGATCCATGAATCTAATTTTAGCCCCAAATTTAAATCGGAAAACCGCTTCATGGACTACATGCAAGATTTAATACAGAAGGCAATTTCCAAAGAGGATCAAAAGACCAAACTATTTCATCAATGCAGAAGAATTAGGGAATTTCATCACTGCATCCAACACGACAAGGCGGCAAAGGGATGACGTGGATGCCGAAGAGAAAGTTGGTCCACAGGTAAATCTCGCTGTCCGAAGGGGGATCTCTCGTGTTCGCCATTTTAGTGCTTAGCATACCGATATTGGCACCGGTTAGTGAGATGCCAGTGAATCAATAGATCTGAAACACCAACGCGCACCTCTCCAGACAGTTATCATGGCGAGACAGGTTAAAATTCTACAACTTAACGTTAACCGACTGATGTGCTGAGCTGAGAAAATACCTCAAGGATGTGATAGGTTTCCAGGAAATGAAACTACTACCAAAGAAGAGTGACACCCACCCATCCGGATACAATATTAGCGAAGGGACAGACCGGGCACTACAACATACGGGGGCGGTCATGTCATCTACGTCAGTGACAACATAAATTATATTTCTGTTCCACTGAAGCAATGGGCATAGCCATCACATTGAGCAATAATAAAAAGTTTACAATAGTGAATGTCTATGCACCCCCAGTGGTCACAATAAAACCAGATGACTATCAGTCACTTCTCGATCAGCTTCCGCAGGGCGAATCTGTGTTTTGCGGGTATTTCAAAGCAAACACGCTTTGTGGGGGTCATAGAGGAATGACTGCAGGTGACTAGCCTATGCCCAATAATAGAAAGGAACGACCTATGTGTACTGAATGATGAGAGTCCTACATTTGTTGTAGGAAATGCTCCACCTTGACACCTAGACCTTACATTCTGGACGCTGGGTATAGCGTGATAGAAGTTGAAACAACCAGGGAAGTCTATAACAGGAGACCCAATTGGAAAATGAAAGAGGTTGATGGGAAACCTTCCGTGTAGGCTGCCTTGACTGGAAGGAAGAAGACATCATCGACACCAACATCGACGTGAACTCTGCCAACATCACAAGTGCTATTATAGGTGTCGCAGACGACTCCAATCCAAAGACATCTGGCAGGAAGTCAAGGAAACCAAAACCTTGGTGGTCGCCAGAATGTCTGATGGCAGTTTACGAAAGAATGAAGGTATTTCGCCTACGTAAACGTCACTACAATGAAGTCAACCACCAAAATTACCCGAAGTTTAAATACGCTGCAAGATACATCATACATTCTGTTGAATCAAAGTACGCATACAGGTGTCGTCTGGAAGAAACTGAACACCATGAATGGAAAACGCAGAACATTCAATATACCAAACCCAGAGAATGAAGATTAGTACGTTACCAACGGCAATGAAAAGGTAGGTCTACTTGCAAAAACATTTGCAGACGCAAGCAAAGATGAAAACCAATCGCCAGAATTCCTGAAGAGGAAGGAAATCTTTTACTCACAGCACCCTTCATTAGTAATTGAATCGAATGAAGAGGCTGAACCAATGAACCTACACTTCTCTGAGGATGAGTTAAATGAGACTCTTTCCCTCAAGAAGGATAGAGCGGCTGGTGAGGACAAAGTAACGTCATCAATGCTCAAACATCTGCCTAGAAATGCCAAAGCGATACTGCTAAACGTCTTCAACACATCCTGGCGGAAAGCCAAACTATCGACCAG